AACAAAAGGAGGTTTGGCGAAACAAAAGGAGGTTTGAGCTCAAACCTTGGTCTGAGCTCAAACCTTGCTTTGTGAATTCGGGCCGTCGAGTGTGGCGATAACCAGGCTACCCGAATAACTAATTATACTAACTGAAGGATATCTAAAGTTAACATACATGGAATATAGATATCCTGTCTCGATACTTTTAGATGGAAGCAAGTATTGGGTAGGAATCAAAATACAAAACGATAGATTTACAGAAATGAAATTATTGAAGGATATCTAAAGTTAAAATACATGGAATATAGTATCATAAACTTATTACTGCTTATGCCAATAATGCCATGTCTCGATACTTTTAATTAATAACTTTATAATTATGTTGACGCATATGGAGAAGGTCGATTTTTTTTTCGGGGCAAATTTTTAATTCTCTGAAGCCTCTTCGAAAGTACTTTGACCTAAGCAAAGCATTTGCACTTACTACAAGCACTTAGTATACTATCAAGTTACATATATTAAAAACAGAAACTTATTTCAATCACAGTTGAAGCTTAAGGATAGGCAAAGTTTGATGGCTTCTGAATCCTCACCATTTTACATAATCTTATAAAGAGGGTTCATGGTGATGCAAATAGGATAACCATAAAATGGGTACAACCAAGAGGCTACGATATACAAGCTACAACCAACAAGCTATGCTTTCACCTCAGGCTTCTTCATTCATCTAAGCAGGACTGCACTACTTGTAGCTACGTGCGCGCTCTATATAGCAAACAACAAACCCTATGGTAAAACCTGTCAGGAATATCCCGTGGAAAAACGCGAAGATCCCCTTTTTCTTATGTTAATTGAAAGCTGATTTGATGAGATAACCACCTGTCTGTGACCATGCAGGGAGGTCTAATTCCTCCTGGCCAAACTAGTGCAGATAGGCTTTAAGTCCTTAAACAAGTAACTGCAAACAAATAAAAGTGATTTTATATATTATATGAACTTATTTGTATAAAAAAAAAATTGTATTGTTACTATCATTTTATTTCTGGTCAATAAAACCGACAATGTGGAACGTCAAATGTGAAATATGAAATGAATAGAACAGAAGCGATCTGAATTTGAACAAATCTAACTCTCTTTTTAATTGTTTAATAACAATTACAACCGGTTTCTGTGTACTCATATTGGCTAATTCTTTAATTATTATGATAATGTAATGCATTGTACTTTCACATAAAGGTCATCAGGAATCTTATCCGTAAGGATCTGTTGATATATTCTTCATCACGGTGATACATGTATTCTGTAAGAATTTCCGGTCTATAACGACAGATACTATTTACATGGGGGCGCATTGAAAGGTTTTGATCAAACGTGACACCTAAGTTAACAACTGTTTTGGAGGAATTTACAGAACCATTTGTTATTTGAATCGGAGGGAGTTCTATTGTATTTCTTCTTCGGTGAGAAAACAGGTGGAGCACTTCCATCTTGTTGCCGTTCAAGAGAAGAAAGTTTTCAGTCAACCAGGAGCGAATGGCATGTAGACAATCTTCCAGTTTCTGCAACATTTGAAGAATTTGTCCAGACTTAACAGTAATATATAGTTGGGTAATACAAAGGTTTTGGTATGGGGGACATGAATTTGGTTCAAATGAACATGTTGGAAGCATATGCGATCCTACAATATTTAGTGATCGTTGTCGCGGTTGAAATTGAGTCTAAAGTGATGAAATTGTAAATCATAAACTCTTTATGTTGTATAGCTCCCTCTCAAGGTCAAGTTATTAATTTAGCTTTAAAACAATTTTTCTTGACAAAAATAGATTGATTGGCTGTTCCCCTTTGGAAATTATTTATCACAACTGCATATTCTGTGGTTTTCATGTCGCAGCTACCATTGGATGGCCGTATACTATAGGGGCTATTTGTAATTTATCAAAAATTACCGGGAGCACCGCTAAATTTTGATATTGAATTTTTCTCAAAAGCAGAAGTGTTTTAGGGGCTAAATTTTCTGGTGCTTTTATGATACATCCTCAGGGGCATCCAAATTTATGAAAATTTTAAAACTTTGTATTACCTTTAACAGTTTGCCAAAAAGATTTTTTTGGCCATGATATTGCCTGCATCGCAACGTTTTTCATTGACGAGAAATGTAATTATTTGTGTGTTATAGCAACTCTGATTTATTGAAATTGAATTAACTCAGTGAAATGAAATGCTTCTGTTGGATTTAAGATTCAGGATACAATATTATTTTATTTCTAGTACAGAAATTTGCTTTCCATTTGTGTTTCATGCAATGTAAACATAAACAAAACATGTTATTGTGTGATAAGTTTGAGAGGAGTATTAAAGACTGTGTTTACAGTATGAGTAAACATCCTTCTGACTCTCAGCAGCTCGTAGAACTAGACATTATGAAAAGAATTCTGAGTCACATCACGAATGCATTCAGATATAGTGAACTGAATAAACAGTAACAACTCATGAGAAGAAAGAGAGAGAGAGAGAGAGAGAGAAACCAAATTATATAAACAGCAATAATTATTGTTACAAATTTCATATCTTACAGCAGTACTTTACTCTGTATACATGTTATAACGTGGTATTTTATTTTAAACATTGAAATAGTAGGATAATGATTGTGCATTCACAGTCAAACCAGTCACCTTTAACCTTTATATGTCAGAAGGTATACAACATTGCATGAGTGCAGTTTTCATTCAAAGATTACTGGACTCGACTCAAGCAATGACTTAATGCCAAATCATATAGAGATATAGAAATTTGTTTTACACGAAGATGTGGTTTTAATTCTTCCAAATTAGATTACTTAATACATGTTTTAGATTCTTAGTTGAAGTTGGCTGTTGTACTTTTTTTAGGCCAGAGTTTGGGAATGTAATTTTTGCATGTGTTCTTGGATCTTACAGAAACAACAATAGAAAAGAATTTTACCAATTCCATTATCTTAAAAATGAATGTTTAAACAAAAATGCAATGGTTTATTTTGATGAGAAAGATGTTGAGATCAAACAATTAAAGAGAACACATGAAAATCTGTGTTAGTAGGTTTATTATTAGCAATCATCATTTCAATGGTCCCTATTGTCATCCATCTCTGTGATGGTATGAAATGAATTCAAAGCAGTAAATAATATTTGTAATGTATTCCTATCTTTAGGAGATACATGTATTTGATATGTTTCAGTTCCAAAGTAAATCAACTACAAGTAATGTGATAATTCACTAAATTACAGGAAAAGATATCTACAGAGAAAATGTATGCAACCATTATAACATATCTTAGAACAGTGAGATAAAAGTGAAGAGAAGATAATGCTTACAATGAACTACATTCAATTGCTTTAGATTACTAGAAATTCTAGCAGATAAAATCCTGTTTTATCATATATATTTTATTGAGTTATAAAATCTGAAATCATCTTTTCCAAATCAATATATGTGTACATAGGTTATAGTTCTATTCTTGATTACTAGAAATTCTAGCAGATAAAATCCCTGTTATGTCATATATTTTATTGAGTTATCAAATCTGAAATCATCTTTTCCAAATCTATTCTTGAATAAAAAATACAAATTATTGCATTCCACGAAATTTGTTATTGATTAGTATTTTTTTAAAATTTACTACATATATTGATATCAACATAATAGTAGGTTTAATGATTTGAAAAATATCTGTTTATAGGCAAATAGCTTTCTTATATCTACATTTTATTTCTTTATATATTCAGCTATATGATTGGCATACTGGTACTCTTCCAATAACTATCACTCACAAATTCTACCTTTTATTTTATCACAAAAACAGACCTGTTTATACCACTATCAAATTCATTGTTCGGGGTTGCCTTAAAATCAGTCCTTGGATGACATTTAAAGTGCATAGTTTTACCACTTCCGTTGAGGAGAAATATGCAACAACAAAACATTTATAATCATCTATCATTGATTCTGAAAGTAAACATAGCAAACATCAGAACCAGTTATTATTCCTCACGAATATTGCATCGTTGCTAAATACAATCATCATACCTGCATCAGAATGCTGTGTTATTCTAGTTCCAAGAAAAGGCAAAGGCAGTCAGATGTGTGTACATGTCACCAGGCTGTAAGATGCAACTTGGAAAGTTGGGCTGAAGTTGGGGGAAGATAATAGTTTATATTCTTAAATGCAAACAAACCAGTGCGCGCACACACACTCACACGCATAGAGTTTCAGCAGATACACTAACAAAAAACTAAAATGAGTATACATAAAAGACAAACAGATCGTGTAAGCGACGGCGATATGGATAGAACTGTGATGTGCCATGCAGCATATGAATATGAGACAGGAAATATATGTGGGGAGAAAAAATGGAGAAGAGGAGAGAAACACAATGAAAGAGAGAATAAAGAACGATGGAAATATTTTGTATTATGATAAATAGGAAATCTTTTAATGTGAAGGTGCGAAAGATGAAAGAAAAGTGGGAGAAATAAATTACTAAAACAGAAAAGACATTTTTCATTTACTCATTTATTTATTAAGCACTTGTGTGATGGAACACCCTGATCAGTCCCAATGTGGATTTTCACAGGAGTCTACACACATTAAAAACAAAATGTAACAATACAATCACAGATAAATGAAATATACAAAACTAAAAATCAATGAACATATACATGTAATATAAAAATCAAGTTCAGAAAACAAAAGAAAAATACACATACGAACATATAACATAAATAAGTGTACACACACACACACGCACACCAATGACGTGAATGGAGATGGAATAAGAGAAAGAGAGAGGAGTAATTAAATTAAAAGTGATGGAAACAAAACATTTTGTTCAATAAATGGGAGATACTCATTTACGAGAGGCAAAATTAATTGATCAACTGCTCTGAAAAAGAATCAAATGATGGATGCAGGACACAACATAGAAATGAATAAGTGACATAAGCATTGTCCATCCATCTTCCATCTCAATAAGAAGACTAACTTACCTGGTTCACTGCATTTGGATAGAACTGAGATTCCAGACAAAGAGCGCTGTGTTTAGGATAGATTGCGCCACACTTTCCCACGGTAGAATCATTCAGATAATTGGCAGTATAGAACTGAATACCAGGTTTGGTCGTAGAAACCTCCATCTTGCGACCACTTTCCTTGTGTGTGACGCTGTACAGGAAATATAAGAGTAATTTATGGTTAATAAAAGCATATAATAATACCTGCAGCTGTCATAGATTTTTAACTAAATTACGATTAGAAGCTTTCGGTAACACCATGACTGTGAAAGCATTATTTTCGTCAAAAAAAATAGGAAACGAAAAGGAAAACAGAAAGCCTCCAGTCGTAAATACCCAATCACCATGGAAACTTACAGAAAACATGTAGAACATAATAATATTGTGGACTTTTGATTCAAGTTTTTTACATTTGTTAATTAGCTGTAAAACAGGGATGTCAGTTACGAGCACCCCCCCCCCCCCCCATTTTCGGTTTTGTTGGTTTTCTCGAGCTATGTGGATTAAACCAACCGATATACGGTACCTGGTGAAACTAAAAACAGCTGCCCGTCATTCTTCTTTCATTTTTTTAATGTAACTCATCATATCCACCTCGTGCATAGCTCATCTATAGTGGTTTACAGTTCTTTAAAGTTCCTTTCCCTTCGTACGTTATATGTTCATTTTAATGAATGTATTTGCTAATATTTTGTGTATTGAAAAAGGATAAAATATTTGGTTAAAAAAGATGTCCAATGATTTCTTTCATCGTTGTCCTTCATCTCTCAAAGAAAACAAAACATTCTTATCTGGAGTTTATAAGAAAACTTATCGTATTTTACTTATTTTATCTCCATCTGTCGTTTTACAATGGAATGAACGATACTTTTGATTGATTATCATTTTCTATTAGAAGTTTCTTTCAAGGAACAAATGAGTTGATCAAGCTCGTATTAGGCTTGGTCTTACTCTAACTAAATCAGATGGATTAGATTGGATTGGGTTGGATTTGTTCTTATTTGTTTGTATTTACTTTATTGATTTCATTTTATTTTATTTTATTTTATTGATTTGTTTTACATAACATAACAACATGTAAATAATAAGATACATTATAACGTGAACAATATGTTAGGAAGGATCGCCATGCTCAGCTGCGTCATTACAGCATGGCTGTTCTACCCAGGGATCTTAATGATAAAACAAATTAACGAGAGAAAATAACATACATCATAAATAAATAATTGATATATTAATACAACATATTAATCATTGTTCTTTCTATTTTAACAGAAAAGTTTGAAATATAGGTATAACTGTTTTACTAACATGACGCAAGGTTTTTCTGAAGATTTCACACAGAAGTTATGGTCATATCCTAATCCTGGTACTTCGTTGATCTTATCACCGATTCTGGTTGGACTTCGCAGATCAAACACTGTATCATCAACCGAACTTATCTCACCTGATGTAAACAGATAAATGAATGCGATTGTAATAATAGAAATTGGGTAAAACAGTGGCTAGGTAAGTTGCAATGTTCTTTTTTTTAATACATTTCAGTTCATGTAATAGGCAGAGACAATAAAAGAAATATCTCAAACCGTTTATTTTTTTCCGAGCGGAGTGTATACATGAGAATTTGTACCAAATCAAAACCTCCCAGTGATAAAAGTATACACCAAATTTCTAAATTCAACCCCTACATTACTTCTCACGTTTTGAAGTTATGATTTAACAATAACATTCAAAGGTATGAATAAAGTTCCATCCAAAATGTTAGGAAAACCAAGGTAACGATCTAAGCACTAGTTGAAATTTAAAGCATGTTCTGGCATTTTCATTTACTAATACATGTGTTAAATATGAAAAGTAATTCAAATAATTTCATTTCAACACACTGACAACATTTTTTTTGCACGATCGCTCTTCGAAACTGTAAAATAGATAGGTTAATGCATTTATCAATCAGTTTCATTTTCACAGATTCAAGTTAAATAATACTGTAATAATTATATTAAACATAGAAGGTCCACAAATGCGTTTTACAAGAACAAAATTACCGAAAGGAAGATATATTTATTGACATTATAAACAAACCTGATGGGAGTCTTGTCTCTATTACCATGGGTGTGTACTTATCAGCGTCTATCTCCACAATATGATCTGTAACGCTGCCCGAGTCCTTGTTTTACATGAAAAAAAAAATACAAAAAATGTCAAATAAGATTTACCAAATTGAATAGGAAACGACATCCTTAGAATACTATTGAAAGGCTCTGGATGTACCATATAAATTGATTAGGTTTTGAAAACTGATCCATACATTGCTAATTTGGCTCGCACTTTCTAAGTCTGTGGTCTGGAGCGACATTTGTGATGAAAACTGCCGCTTAGGTGCAAATGAAAGGATTGCATAATTTTGGGCAATATTATGGTGTCTGAATTTTCAATAAAACAACGTTTTACAAGAAAATGTAAAGAATCATCAGATTCAAACATTGACCGACAACTATGATGGGAATTTCACAAATCTTCACCTTTCTCAGTGCGGAGAAAAATCTTTACAAACAACTTTACCCCCCCCCCCCCCCCAAAAAAAAAAAAAGCAAACAAGCAAAAATTCACGTGACCCCCGAGGTTGAAGTACGAATGGTTGGTAAGATTGATGGGTGTGGCTTTGGTGGTCTTGGCAACGTAGGATATGAGTATCTTGTTATCGTCTGCTAGTTGGTAGTTGATGGTAACGGATACTTCCCCTGGATAACCATTCTCACCATCGGGACTCGTATAGCTAAAAGATACACCATTATCCTCGATGTGCCCCTCCCAAAGTCGCTGTAATGTGCATGAAACAACCCAAACTACAATTATATTACTTAGGTAATTCAAAGTTTTGGGAAATTTTGAAAATTGGATGGAGAGTAATTCTTTAAAATTTTGATATATTTGGATGCCCTTGTGGATGTATTATAAGCACTAGAAAGTTTAGCCCCTAAAACACTTCTGCTTTCGTTAATAGCGCCTAAGGCCATTTCATGGTAACTGCGACCATGAAAATCTCAGAATATGCAGTTCTGATACATAGTTTCCAAACGGGAATAGCAAATCGATCGATTGTAGTCAAGAAACATTGTTTTAAAGCTAGAGTAATATCAGTCTTGAGAGGGAGCTATATATGCAACATGAAGAATTTATTATTTACAGTTTCATCACTTTAGACTCGATTTCAACCGCAACAACGATCATTGAATATTGTAAAATCGCATATGCTTCCAATATGTTCATTTGAACCAAATTCGTGACCCCATACCAAAACTTTGTATTACCTTTAATATTCTTTTCAGTCGAATAATATGACAATTACGATAGACATTATGTTACAATTCGTGTGGTCTTGCTGAACATATCATTTTGTTTAGTTTCGTGCCTTAGGTTATTCTCCCTTGGACAATATGTTAGCCATGTGGATACTCCTACAACTCGACTAGATCACCAGCATTTTTTTAAATTTTATTTATTTATTTATTTATTTATTTATTTATTTATTTATTTTTTTTATTTTTTTTTTTTTGGGGGGGGTATTCTTAGCTTTAAGAAACACCTGCAATGCGAAAAAGTAACATTACGTCATCTAATCTAAAGTTGTTTAACCATCGTAAGCGATGACTTTCTCTCAATCTCCTTTTTATGATATTCTGGTGTCCAGCTATTGAAGGAGTATAGATGGTCATTTGATAGTTTAATTTTTTTTTAAAGCATTTATAGATCTTTGTATAATTTATATCTGATCGAGACAATCTGCGTAAAGATCTTTCGTTTCATATTTGAACATGATAATAATAGTAATGATCGTACGAAGTAACAATGTCTAAAAATTAATGCTTATATTTCACCTGATTTTAATACAGATTACAGTCCATACATGTAATACGATTTTACAAATATGCAATAGCATTTTGTTTTATATACCAAATGATTTGTAATTTGTATCTAATTATTTTCTTCTGGGTTTTGTTCGCTTACTGTTAAGGTTTATATTCATGATTCTTTTTGCATTAAAAAAAAAAGAGGCCTCATGGAAGACATACAATTCGTGATATTGTGCTGCCCTGTATAAATATCAGAATAAAATAAATAAATAAAAACATGAATACATTTATGGTTATTGTACAAAAAGGGACCTATATGCTTACATGTGAAAAGTTGATGACACCGCCATGGATATGGTTTGATCCATCGTTGATCTCTAACTGGTAATGAACACCATCCAGTGCGAACTGACCATTAGCTATTCGGTTTACTACACGACCAATCGTCACGCCAAAGCTAGGCGCGTTAGTCTCATAACCTGATGTAACGATCAAAGGAGGATTAGAAGGAGAGGAGAGAATTAACAAAGGCAGTAAATGATTCAATTGATAATGAGTGAATGAATGAATATATACATGAATAAGTAAATTAATGAATTAATTGATTAGAAAACTAAGATGATTGATTAATCAATTAATTAATGAATATGTAAATTATAAATGAATAAATGAATATATAGATAAATAAAAAAAAACTAATGAATAGAGAGAATATCCGCTAAAGGAAAAGAAAATAAACAACTAAAAAACACATGAATAGATAAATGAATAAATAAATATATAGAAAAATAAATAACTGAATGAATAAAGAGAAGATCCGCTAAAGGAAAAGAGGAGAAGTATTCGAATATAGCACCTGAAAATGAAAGGAAGGAATTTTTTGTTACTTGGTTTATATAGTTCATCATGCAATGCCACAGTACAGCATGAAGGTGATCCAAAACACTTGCTCATTCTTTCTCTATTTCTTTCTTTCTCTATTTCCCTATCCTTTTATTCGCTGTCCGAATATGAGATGATGGATGTTGGAACATTAACGTTCTCGGGGGGGGGGTGGCGGGCTGCAGCCTCATCCCCCCCCCCCCCCCCACCTAGCTACAAATTGTCCCAAATACGGAGTATTTATAAAATAAACCTAAGACATAATGAAAACAGCGACGAATATTTGCAAGTAGATCACATGACAGACGTCACAATGCACTAGCGCAACGCGAAAACTTTCATCCAATCAACTTACTGTACATTACAATACGTCATGTCGGGGGCTAGGGCTCTCTGGTCTGTGTTTTCTGTTCATGAAGCATTTACCATTGTTCTATTCTTATTGAATTTCCTCCCTTTCGATCATCTCGTGGATGCCTTTATATTTTGCTTCCGTACGATCCCGAATCAATATGTGGTTGAGTAAAAATGATGAGGGGTTCTTAAATGGAAGGAAAGAATCGTAAATGTTGCCACATAGGTTAAAAATTTGAAGCTATTTTTATTTATTAACACTTTAATTTATGAGGCAAGTTAGGTCTAATCCTATTATGAACACCAAACACGATTTTCCAAATCTATTTGAAGAGGGCTTTTAAAATTTGTGAGACCATGTTTTCCTTCTTCTTCTCCGTCTTCTTCTTCTTCTTCTTCTTCTTCTTCTTCTTCTTCTTCTTCTTCTATTCTCCTTTTACTTCCTTCTTTCTCGTATCTTTCTTTCTTTTCTTTTTTCTTTTTTGTTTCTTTATTTTTTGGTTTTATTATCAATAAACTTGTTAATTAAAATGTTGACCCCTAGTGGAATTTTAAAATATTCAGGCAACCATCGCCTTATTATTTGAGCGCTGAGGTGAGAATTCATTCTTTCATTTTTATATCTTATCATCCAATCTTGACTATTTTTTAAGACTTAATTACACACTATACACATAATATAAATGATACCCAATGTCCGAACCAGGGGTGTCTTTATGATGAATATTTTGCTCGGTCGCTTTGCCCTCTTACAAACTTATGGCCGGTAAATATAGATTCGGATAAGAGACAGAACCCCCCTCCCCCCCCCCTCCAAACCAGGCGAATAATAATGCCCGTACAGTATAGCCATAGTGTCTTGTTCATTGTATGAGATCACTTAAATTGATCCAAGATTTTCTGAATCCGCGAATCTGTTCTGTTCCTGGTCCTGGTCATCGAATCGGAATATTGTTGGTAAATAAGAATGTTCTAAAGAAATTGTGTAACATAATTATTAATTACAACCTGTATTTACTTTGGGAGTTAAGTCCGAACATTTTACAATGATATACATGCATGTTAGAGGGAATATTATAGTGCACCCTTGGATGGTGCCCATGGCTTTGAAGATTTTTGCTGACTCACATAATTGCAACGTCTGGAGATTTTATTGACCGTCTAATTAATCATCAGATAGTCACAAAATTAAGAAATTAGGAAAAAATGAAAATAAAACAAATGTTGATACACGTACCTTTGATGTCAAGCCACCCCAGAACGACATCGCTTTTCTTTCCAATCTTATCAGGTATCCAGAGCTCAGTTAAAGCAGCTCCATAGTTGATCAGCTTAGCTACCATCCCGTTCCCATTGCTCAAAGTATACTGATCAACCAGCTGGTTATTGGCAGTGCGACCGTATTCTTCTTTAGTGACAGGCATATTAGATTGTATAACTTTGCTATAAAGTGATAATGAATTCGAGAAAATAATGAAGGAGAGAATGAATGTTGGATATTTTCCTGCACTTTACGGCCACTTCGTAATACTCACTAAAGTCTGAATTCCAACATCTAATCCAACACTATACTTGACCCTATAGCCCTAACCATAAACCTTACAACATTCATCCTACCTATAATCAATCTTTGACATAATAAAAGCGCATGAGTAAGTGAGAGAGGGAAAGAGATAAAATATAGCATTGGCGAGAGGGTGGGTGAGAGAGAGAGGGGGTAGGGGTATGTAGGGAGAAAGAGAGGAGGGGGAGAAGGAGCTCTATAGAGAGAATATAATTATAGTAGCGCTTTATATGTCAGGGGAAAAAACGATTAATGCAAATTAGTTTGATTTACTGCAATACTTCGAAAAGAAAACGCATCAACCCGCGTGACAACCAAATAAGTTCTTATGATAATTTTAATACACATTTTTGTTTTCTATACATTATCAACTCGATCCGTGTTTATAAAATCTTATCAAACCTAATTTACAAATCCAATAGTTAAAGATTTGTTGTTCTTACCAATGGATGTATGATAGTCTTGAATGAATGTACAGATTCCAACATTACGCTCTAACCTTCAGGTTCATGCTCTAACCCAGAAGGTATAGTTCAGTCTATTTATTATGACCGATGTATACTGCCCTACATAGATATACCTAACATGTAATATAGATAACAATGTATTATGTTTGTTTTGAGCATGCATGGAATATGATAATTGATTTGGTGTAAACATCGAACCATATATCAAATGATTATACAAACAGAAACCACTGATATAGGCTCAACCGAGGAGGGGGTGTGCAGAGCTTATTCGCCCAATGATATCCGTAGCCAGCTCCTGCATGAACGAAAATGTCTACTTGACTTGAAAGCTAGTCCATATCAAATTTAAGAAAGATCCCTCGTTGTTCCAAATCGCCATAACCCCCCCCCCCCCCCACCCCCGCCCCCCAAAAAAACAAAACAACAAAACCGCCATTGACACAATGAGCCTCGAGATTTGAAGTGTCAATGGCGCTCTTCACCACACCCCCCCCCCCCCATTCCCCATTCCTTGTCTAAATTTTGCAAAGAGCAAAGGTCCATAGGGCAATACATATTCATTCTCTATATCCGACATTATTTTGAAGATGTGCAGATAGAATGAAATTACTCCACACTATATTCGTACCGAATTTGGAAGGTTTAATTCTAATTGTTTTGGTCATTATTTTCTTTTATCACGAGTTTTTAGCGGCCCTGCGTTCATTTACTTCAACGTCTCTCTCTCTCTCTCTCCCACACATTCTCCTCTACATCTCTTCCTTTATTCTGTCTTTATCTTACCTTTTATCATATTCTCCCCAACCGTTTCTCATATCCCTCTCTCTCTCCCACACATTCTCCTCTACATCTCTTCCTTTATATCGCGGGGGGGGGGGGGGTTTAGTTTTTTTTTAGGGGGGTTTACACACGTAAAAATACCAAAGGGGGGGTTTAACCCCCAAACACCCCCCCCCCCCCCCCCTGCGTACGCGCCTGATTAAGAGTAATAATTAAATGAAACGTCAAAGCTTACCTTTTATCATATTCTCCCCCAACCGTTTCTCATATATATCTCTCTTCTCTCTCACACACATTCTCCTCTACATCTCTTCCTTTATTCCGTTCTTTATCTTACCTTTTATCATATTCTCCCCCAACCGTTTCTCATATATATCTCTCTTCTCTCTCTCTCTCTCTCTCTCTCTCACTCGCACCCTCTCTCCCACACATTCTCCTCTCCATCTCTTCCTTTATTCAGTTCTCTATCTTACCTTTTATCATCCCCCCTTATTTTAATCTCTTTCTCCCTCTCTCTCTGTCTCACATTCTCCACTTGCATATGTCTCTCGCCTAACATTCCTTAATCCTTGTTATAGTAATAATCTTGATAGGGTACAGCTTGAAAAGGAGATGAAAATTAATACGCAAATAAAACAGATAATTTTGTCATGAATGATTAGTCTGATCACCTAAATAGACTAATCTTCAAGGACTAGGGAAAAGAATAGACATATAGAGTAAAATTTTTGATAAAATCAACTATAGAAGGTACAACAATTAAGAATAAAATGTAGACACCATAACATGAGAGATTGACAACATGCAGGCACACATCTATATTGTAAACTGAAGACTACAAAATAAGTAAGGCTGTAATCTCATATATTTTCCTTCCATTTTTTTGTTTAAATACATAAAATGGAGATAGGAGCTATACATTTGTTCTTCATTACAGTCACTTCTGAAGTGACCCTGCATCAAATTTAAACAGAAAAGTTGATACAACTACATGTACTATTCAAGAATAACACAAGAACTTGATACAGAATTCAAAAATATATTGTTTTTAATAGAGATCATTATCTCATTCATTCTGTTGCACACAACACAGGAGCAGTTAGGATAACTATTGTTTTGCAGAGTTAAGAGTAAAGTACACATACCCATGAAGACAATAATTGGCAGTTGATGGTATGATTTACCTCTAATAAAATAAGTGATTTAAATCCATTTCTAGCGAAGAATACCATAATCTATTGCTGTCATTAAAAATATAAAAAAATTAAAATAACATTATTACTCATCTAAAAGACTAAACTACTTCCAAATAAACCACACCCCAAAACCCTGACAGGGCGTTAGAAAAAGGAGCTGTGAGTCAAAAATGTTGCTTGACATAATGTTGATGTAAGCGATCCATGAGGTTCATCTATGTTTCCATCCACATACTGGACAAGTACATATCCAGACTTTTCACTTCCTTACTCTTGAAACACAATTATTATTTTTTGTTGGGGGGGGGGGCTAGAAGGTAAAGCCACACAGAATATATGGAGGTCTTTTTCTGCACTCCAGTAAAATAATTGTGTACTTTAAAACTAGAAGGGGAATCAGCTGATATTTAGAAACATCAGAGTCAATACAATCCTGACATCAATAAGTTTGAAAACACATTATACAATATGCTTATCAACTATTTTGGAAAATACAGACCTGTTGATACATAACACAGATGTCAATTTCAGCTTAATACATAACAATGATTTTAAAAGGATGTTTTCTTTAATTGTATAAACTTCAATTTATCAGATATCATGATAGCATTAAAAAGATAAATACAGCTGACTTGGTTGTTGACATGTTATGCCAATACATAAAGCACACATAGGATTCACAATCCAAATAGCCAGCCACGTGTGTAAGGAAAAGGCCCACAAAATGCCATTTCATTTAAAAATTGGCTCATGGCCCAGCTGCAGAAGACTGCTCACCAAGAAAACTTGTAGACAGTAGTGTGATTGTATTTCTCTCCAGGCTGTAGTACGCTTTTAGAGAAGTTTGGCTGGACAAGAAAAGAGATGTTAGAAAGAAACGGGAGAGAAATAGAGAGAGAAAAGGGGTGGGAGCAAGAGAGAGACACAACGGAAGACAGTGAGGGGAATACATGAATATGTCACAATATAAATAACAATCTAGAGAGTAGAGAGTTTTAAAACACATTTGTTGTTTAATTTAGTGCTATTAATGATTGTAAGTCAGTAACTCTTTTGTTGGTTATCACACTAGCCAATGAATTGAATTAAAGCTCTCACAACATGTCTTATAAGGAGAGTAATTTTTAATAATAATTTGGAGCATTTAAACTAAAGATACAGCTACACACACTTCAACTGCTTCAATTTCGATGTGACAAGTTCAATAGCACAATTTAAGAGTTTTGGAAATGGACTGAGTAAGAAAGCATGATGTATGTCCATTATTCAACTAAACAGCACAAGTGCTGGGAATGATATTATGAACAGCATTCTATATTATATCCTACTGGAAACCAAATTATACATTTGGCTAGAGAGAAGCAACATAGATTATTTCAGAAGGCATTGCCTAATGACATGGAATATTTGCATGAGGGAATCTTACCTGGTTAACCGAGTTAGGATAGTACTGTGATTCTAAGCACAAACCACCATGTTTGGCATATGTAGTCTCTTCTTTGCCTTTACAGGTATCATCTAGATAGTTAGCTGAATAAAACTGAATACCAGGTTTGGTAGTGAACATCTCCATGCATCGACCACTGCCTGGATGACTTACTCTGTAACAGCACATAATAATAATAATAATAATAATATAAATTGGATTTATGTATACAGTAGCTTGCTGGTGACCCATGTGAGAGAGAGAGAGGATTGAGGAGTCCTGAAAAGGACCTCTCGGTATAGGGTGTGTAGTCCTGAAAAGGACTTGATTTATGTAGTGCGTTTTTCCACAGGATACAAGGCATTGTCCCTTAATCTATTAACAAATGAAGACAAATTGTAGAGGTATGTTTTTCGAAGAAGTCAAGTGAAGTACTTTCTCAGAAATGGAGAGATTTTATGCCATCTAGGCTTTGGGCTTTGGGCAGCTTATTGAAATGATTGGGGAATACGAAGGAAAGGAGCTGATGTAGATCAAAGTGATAAAAATGATAACAATTCTCTGCTGCTGAAAGAGACAAGATATAAAGAAGTGTGGTTGACATAGATTAAAAAGTTTGAAAGTATCAAGTATTAAAGTTTGTCAGTAACTGCAAGCCAGAGTAGTTTATTTAACGATAGGTAGCATGGGATCATTGCAGTATTTGACAGATTAGTCAAGCATATGGGTAGTTGTGAAATAAAATTAGGAATTCGTCCCTATTTTCACGAAGTGACGGTAGTGAGGAAAAATCGTAACACAAAGTGAATGCAATTTTTTTTCACTACCGTTACTTTGTGAAAACAGCGACGAATTGTCCCAGCATTCATTTCATTATCTGTATAAAGATTGCTTTGTTTCACTATAATCAGAGAAAACCCATAGTAAATTACCCTATACTGTTTGTATCTTTCACAATTTTTCCATTACACTTTTTTGTTCGTGACATAAGATATACATATACAGCGTAGCCAAAAAATGATTGATTTTTTCCATGGTGTCTAAATAATTTTCGGCTACACTGTATGTACCTACACTGTATGTACCTACGTACAAATTGGTACTAGAATATTTGGATCAACATAATCAAACTTGTCTTGAAATCTATAACATCTTGCAATCTGCATATGTCAGTGCGCATGCGCAGACATGGGCGCCATTTTAATTGACTTAGAGGTCAGTGGTATTTATGCATAAATTAATATTGCGCCCATATGCAAATTATGACGTGAGTGCATGAGTAAATAAATTTTACTAGGCCATGTCATCACGGTTCATACAGCTGAAGATGACGTCACCAATGGTGGCCTCAACCGTAAACTGTGACGCAAAATACATGCTCATCTGAAAACGATGACATCACTGCCTGCGCGCTGCACTGTGCGCTCACATCATAATTTGCATGGGCGCAATCTTAATTTACGCACAAACCAAATGACATCTAGAGGTCATTTGGTTTGTTTACTCCTAAATTAAAATGGCACCCACAACCGTAAACTGGTGTATTCTGATCCAGTGCCATTCTCTTTGGAAAGTTCTGTAGCATTATGTGTTCAAGAATCTTCAGTGGCTCTAAAGTCACTGTTTCATACAACCATGTTAAGAAAGCTTATAGAAATATAAAGTGGCAAAATGAATAGTGACGTTTGTTTATTAATTTAAAGCTCTGTTTTCATATATCTGAATGAAAGTTTAGCTAACATTAAGCCCTATTGAGATGTCGTATTCATTTACCAGCTCCATATCCTAATGCAGAGATTCTACCTCTGAGTGATAAAATTATGCAGTTTGGACTCTGGGCGTGTCTTTTCGTCCGTCTTTTCATGCCGCTAAATTTTGCTAAGCTCCCTAATACTCAATTATAACTTTCATTGGTATAAGGATAGAAGTAATAATTAGCACAGATTCCCTTACCTAGCACAGGATTCCTCTAAGGATGACTTGATACAGAAGTTATGATCAAAGCCTCGTCCTGGTACATCATAGATCCTATCACCTATCTTCACTGGTTCTCTCAGATCAAACACTGTGTCCTTCACGCCTACTATCTCCCCTGTCAACAACAAAGGTCGATCACAGAACAACATGTCAGATCAAACACTGTGTCCTTCACTCCTACTATCTCCCCTGTCAACAACAACATTCCATAATAATAATAATAATACATAAGATTTATAAGGCCCCAAATCCACTTGACAGACAAATGCTCAAGGCGCAGATTGTGCAAAAGATGAAATATATACAAAGTGCAATAGGAAAGGTACAGACATGAAAGGTAATGGTAATCAATCACATCAAATCATCATATGTCAACAAATCATTATTTAAATGATGTGTACTGAAAGTTTTGTTGTAAGTATTTTGTTGAAACACATTTTAAAAAAAAGATTTTACAAATACTTATTATTTAAATGATGTGTACTGAAAGTTTTGTTGTAAGTATTTTGTTGAAACACAATTAAAAAAAAAGATTTTACAAACACTTATTTATTTAAATGAAGTGTACTGAAAATTTTGTTGTTGTAAGTATTTTGTTGAAACACATTAAAAAAAAAGATTTTACAAACACTTATTTCTTTAAATGATGTGTACTGAAAGTTTTGTTGTAAGTATTTTGTTGAAACACATTTAAAACTAGATGGAATTCGACTGCGCGCAGTCGAAAGTGATGCCTCCGTCATAGAGCAATTTTACAAACCAAAACAGAAGAAATTTTTTGAATTCAAGTTCAATTGTAATCCATTGACAGGTTCTCAGAATATCGTGATTACAAGCAATTTCTCATATACATATATGACCTTTGATCTTTGACCTCATGACCCTAAAATCTACTCAGTTCATTGGCTCTGCAAGATGTCCTGATTTAAATAGTAATCCATCTGTCAGTTCTAATGAGAATGCGTTCACAAGCTATTTTTGCATACATAATGAGCCCATGATCTTTGACCTTTGACCTTATGAACCAAGAATCTACTCAGTTCATTGGCTCTGCAAGTAACATACATGACCTAATTTTGGCAGGAATTCATCAATCGGTTCTTGAGATAACGCGATCACAAGCTGTTTTTGCATACATAATGTGTGCTGTGGCCTTTGACCTTTGACCTCATGACCCCTAAATCTACTCAGTTCATCGGCTCTGCAAGTAACATACATGACCTAAGTTTGGCAGCAATCCATCAATCGGTTCTTGAGATAACGCGATCACAAGCTGTGTATGCATACATAATGAGCCCTGTGACCTTTGACCTTTAACCTCATGACCCCAAAATCTACTCAGTTCATTGGCTCTGCAAGATAGATACATGACCAAAGTTTGGCAGGAATCCATCAATCGGTTCTTCAGATAACGCGATCACAAGCTGTTTTTGCATACCTAATGAGCCCTGTGACCTTTGACCTTTGACCTCGTGACCCCAAAATCTAATCAGTTCATCGGCTCTGCAAGATAGATACATGACCAAAGTTTGGCAGGAATCCATCGATCGGTTCTTCAGATAACGCGATCACAAGAACGGGACGTACGTATGTACGTACGTACGGACGGACGGACAACCCGAAAACATAATGCCATAAAAAGAAGATTTTACAAACACTTTAGGTTTGGCTTCAAGAACACCATAGATTTTTCAAGCAGCCTTGAATTTCTATTGACGAGATAGTTTTGTTGGGATCAAATCTTCCCAAGTTTATCTATTTGTTGCAAGTTAACATCGCCCAAAGTGTATGTGATATGAAATTTAGAAATATGAATTTCATAAATATGCAAAAAAGAAGGGTTTTGATAAATCTTAGTTAAGATGTTTTGAGGAAAAAAAATAGAATGTTGAAAAATGATGTTTGTGTCGTTGCTAAATTGATACTTGAGTGGTCTTTATATAGACAGATTTCACTGTAAAAGTGTATGAGATTATTTTTTAAAGAAATCATAGAAAATTCAAAATGTGTTAATTTAATTGATTTTGATTGTAAATTGAGCTTAAACTCACCAGTAGGTATACTGGTATCATCTAAAGGTGTGTAGTTCTCAGCATTGATCTGTATCAGATGATCTATTATGCTTCCAGCAGTCTATACAAAATAAAAAGAGTGAATGGAAAGAAAGTGAAAACAGGACATTGACAAGCAAATGTCTCAAAATTAAAAGTAATATAAAGTGTATATGGTTATATGTAGAATTGAGGATTCAGTAGACAGTAAATACACAAATAACTTTGATATCACTTGAACTGCAAACATACCTTAAATCTAAACCTTTAATAGGAGAACCTCTTGGGAATTTCACGAAAGCAGAGTAATCCTGACAGTAAATATATTAACATTCCTGAAGGATGAAGACTATTATACAGGTTGTACAATATTTGTGAAAATATGTTATTTTACTTCCAAACAAATCCTCGCATACCAGACATTGAAGTATGCTGTATCAAAATCCTCACACAAGTCATTTTGTATAATGAGACTTTTGCAAAATAAGTAATTAAATTCCTGTAAATGTCATGGAAAGACAGGTGCATCAATATGTGCATATAAGGCACATGAGTATATACACATTCTGTATAGACTTGAACAGGATACTATATAAACACACCACAAAGCTGAAACACACATTTTAAAGTGTGTTTGTGATTTCTACAATCAATCATAAATATCTTGATATATCAAAGAGCAAATAGTTTTCAGATAAACTGAACCTTTTTTAATCATGTTTAATGATGATTAGAGCATTTATAGAGTCAGATTACGGGCAAAGTTATAAAATACCTTTAAGATCATTGAGATGCTCACAATCAAGAGAAATGATGAGCCCTTTTAACTTACATGGCCTGCAAGATTGAAGTAAGAATGGTTGCAGAGATTGATAGGAGTTGCTTTAGTTGTCATAGCAACAAAGGAGATGATGAGTTTGTTATCGTCTGTCAGCTGATAGGAGGCTGTAGCTGTTACTTCTCCTGGGAAACCTTCCTCACCATCAGGGCTAATATAGGTGAAAGTCACCTTGTCATCACCTTCAATACAACCCTTCCATACTTGCTATAAATAAAACACACAAGATCATTTTAAGGCTACACTCAATCAAAGTATATTACAGCACTTGCACAGAGTTGCACAGAGTTGCACTTGTGGAATAGCAAAGAAATGGAGAATGACCTTGTACATGTATGTCTATTGGATAAAGAAGATTCCTAAAAAAAGTTATTTACCCGCCATCAGTCAAGTAAAAAGTTTACCAGGATAGCAAAACTGAATGAAAATAATTATACTATTAATTGCAATGTCAACCAGGAGATTTAATTATTTTCCACTCAGGGGCTTATTTAGTAGTTAACTTTTAATGTAAATATTTGACCAGAATAATAAACAATGAAGATACAGTTAACCATGCAGAAATCATATCTGTTGGGACCGCATACTTTTTTTTGGACTAATGCAGAATTTGACTAGTTTGAAACTTTTGAGATAGTATTGATCAAAAGAGTTAAATCCTTATTTTCTCCATCTACTACAAGTAATCATACTTTACAATTTGATCAGTTTTTAGTCGTGTAAAATCTACCTTACCATGAACTTACCAGATGAAATGCTTTGATACCTCCATGGTTAGTATTAGGACCATTGTTGATATTCAGCAGATACTTGACACCATCAATACTGAAGGATCCCTTTGCAATCCTGTTGGCTACCCTCCCAACAACAGATGCAAAGTAGAAGGAATTATTCTCATAACCTGGAAAGAAAAAATAGGACATTAGTGGAAAGCTCACGAGTTACAGACCTATGTAAAATAGCCAGGGTCAAAACATCATCCGAATAAGTGTTTCATGATTTAAAATTTGTTAGTGAAGGAAACATGAAGTTTGGAATATACTATCAAACACAGCTGTCAAGATTCTTTAATGTTATGAAATATCTGTGAACTGGTAGCAGGCTCAATCTATAATACACAAATGGAAATTACGAAAATAAGCATGGCCTAGCTAAATCAATTCATGAAGCAATGAGATTGAAACATATCAATAAGAACCTTAAAAAAATAAGATATGGAAATACTATTCATAGCATCTGCTGGTAGCCAGAAATGTCTTTAACTTAATTACAGACTTCTCTACAGATTCAAAATCCATTTAGTTTTTATCAGACTACCTAAACAGTTCTTTAAAAAAAAATCAGTTCACAAATCTATTGCATATTGCATATTAACTGGAAACCCATTTCGATATGGTTAGCGTTCATACCAGTCAAGCTCGAGTAATTTGACCCTGACATAGCAACATACAGTAAACGCTGTTATTTTCGCGTGATTAAATTTTCGCACTGAGCGACCTAAAAACATATTTGCAGGTTCTTAAGTTTGCGTTTACACGCAATTCAGCCCGTTCAACACACGCATAAGAAGTCATGCTTATATTTTTCGCGAGTTCTAAACTTTGTGCTTGCCGATCTTAGTGCGAAATCTGCGAAAATGTATGTACCGCAAATATTTTCACGTTTACAGTGCATGTACATGTATATTATGAATATTCTATCAAAGAGAAATTAGTTAGTGTAGAAATTGTTGGTTTTCTTACTGATGTCTTTATTGTTGATACCATAACATGGACCCTACTGACCAACTTATCATGCTTATGTAAAATAGATCTTGATTGGTAGGGTCCATAAAAATGGGCGTGTCAAAGATAAGATAGAGGTGGCCCTTCAAGAGATAACACAGGGATAAAATGATTTTCAGAATACCAACTTACAACAATATTAGCGCTGTGTTATCTCTGGAAGATACAACAAAAGATAACACAAAAGATATAACAATGTTCAGAATACCGCCCCTGGAGTGCTAATTTCACTACACTTGGAACAAGTAACATACCTTTCAAATCAGGCCAACCAAGAACCACATCAGCTGTATTACCATGCTGATCAGGAACCCACAGCTCAACGAGAGAAGCTCCATAATCAATCAGCTTGGCTTTCATTCCATGTTTGTTAGTGATGGTGTACTGTCCAATCGCCTCACTACTACTACTACATCCATACTCTTCTTTGGTTACAGGCATCGCTAAACTTCAGCCCTTGAACGATGCACAAACTGAAATAAAATTGAAATGAAATTAAGCTTAATGTTACATACTTGAAAAGGAAAAAAGAAACCACTTCCTGGTTATTATATATTTTGTATGGATTACTCAGCTTGGTACACACCAACATTATACTCAATAAGTTTAATTCACACTGGTATATTTAATGATTCAGATATGATTTATTCCAGTACGCCCGGTAGCATCCATCTTGTGGATAATCAGCAAGTCAACAAAACATATGATGTCACAATGGATTACATATTTAAAAACCAATTTCGAAGTATGTTGAATGAGCCGAAAGAAAACTCTTCCTGCAAACTCTGAAGGTATACTTGCAAGGTTCGTCATATGCTGGAATGATTACGTGTACACATTTGAGGTTTGTTTACCTACATGAAGCTCGATCTCCACATACCATAGGTAAATAATAAATGCATGCAGAATAAGGCTTGGTGATATCAATATCACACTAGGCTACGTACAGTAGGCCTAAAGACATATTCATACTTCATAAATCACGTACAGACCCTTAAGACTAGCAATAAACACTGCCTTTCTTAAATCATTCTTCTTCTCCTTCTCATTCTCCTTCTTCTTCTCCTCCTCCTTCTCCTCCTCCTCCTTCTTCTTCTTCTTCTTCTTCTTCTTCTTCTTTTTCTCCTCCTCCTCCTCCTCCTCCTCCTCCTTCTTCTTCTTCTTCTTCTTCTTCTTCTTCTTCTTCTTCATCTTCATCTTCTTCTTCTTCTTCTTCTTCTTCTTCTTCTTCTTCTTCTTCTTCTTCTTCTTCTTCATCTCCTCCTCCTCCTCCTCCTTCTTCTTCTTCTTCTTCTTCTTCTTCTTCTTCTTCTTCTTCTTCTTCTTCTTCTTCTTCTTCTTCTTCTTCTTCTTCTTCTTCTTCTTATTATTATTATTATTATTCTTCGTCCTCCTCCTGCTCCTTCTTCTTCTTCTCCTCCTTCTTCTTCTCCTTCTCCTTCTTCTTTTTTTTCAAAAAGAAAAATGGGTTGACAGAAATGACAGGAAAAAAATGTAGACAACCAAGAGGGAAACACATGATCAAAAGCATGCCGTAAGCTAGACAGCAATAACCATCTGATTTGGGTCATTTCTTTAATAAAACTGACATTTGTTGTCATTCTATAATCGGAGGTCTAGTGGAGCCAGACGTAGTCTCAGTGGAACAACCGACGATTAGAGAGACTGAAGTTTTCGGTCTAGCCGTAAGCTAGAAACAGTCACTGTATTTTCAAATGCTAAAGGACTAAAATGACAACTGAAACTGTTGTGACAGATACATTTATAATAATAATAATAATTAACAACATTTGTATAGCGCTTATCACAAAATATATGTACCTTACGCATTGGCCATTGTAACATAAATGCAACTTCTTATACGAACGCGCGCTATCCATGCTCTTGCTAGCCCAGCGGACCAGCGATGAGCCAATAAGGCGATCCGCTAGTTAACTTGGCCCTCCTGCAAGTCTCGGGCTGCAGTTGTAATTTGTTTATGCATCCATAACTCGAGCTGCTATCCCAACAATTTAGGAAAAGACATGCAGTCAAAGTTCACTTAAACATATATAGCAACTACAAAGAGATGTTAAATATAGAATACGTCAAGAAAAGCGACTTACAAACTGAGATTGGCGGTGTACGTGGACGTGGGCGTGGCGTGGGCACGGCTGCTGTGGCTTGACGATCGAGCTCTTGTTCCAAATTATAGTTCTGTTTAATTCGATCGTACACAGGAACCGCCCCATTCTCAGCAGTATATTTACCTCCAAACAGCCTCTATTATTGGAGGAGCCAGTGCCTTTGAATTTTTGTTTTTTAAGGGGTAATTTTTTGTATTCATTTTTTTTCCCCAAACAAATAAGGTGTGCCCCAAGAATCCTTCTCCTCATCATCATAGCATGTTAGCAAATGGGTCGAAAATAGGAATTATTTTCTGTACTTCTTTGATCTGACAGTTCAGAGGAATACATGTGGAACTAAACGCATTATCTTATTATATAAAACCCACCCTCTTCAGTTTTTTCTGGTCGGTGAAAACGTGCAATGTTTCTGCAAAAGAGTACATTCAACAAGTAGTAGTTTTATGTACTTTTGGAAGGAACTGCACAGTATAATTTGGGTCTCAAAGCTTCCTAACAGAAAGAGAGAGAGAGAGTGAGAGGCAAGGTGGGAGAACGAGAGTAAGGAGAGAATGGGATAGGGAGGGAGGAGAAGAGAAAATGGAAGCTTTGCATGTAATAAAAATAATACTTTATTTGTTTGTATAGTCCCGATGTCATGCGATATCCTACAGGTAAAATAAGTATCTTCAAGCTATAATTCTATCAACTTCTATAGTCCCATTTGCAGGCCAAAAAAAAAAAAATTTAAATTCCAACGGCATTTGAAAGATAATACTAATTTAGAACTCCCCTCAAAACGAAAGGGCCGGCTTGAAAATGTCTTAATTGGGAAAATACCGACAACTAGTTGTCGAATCGACTTTAGTGATTGCAATCCACTTAGTAATAGTCTGATTTTCAGACCCTTATACAGAAATGTCATACGTTATGTGCTGCACAAACGTTCAATCAGTTTAATTTTTGCTATTTCAAGAATTGGGTAATTGGTGTAGAAAAATGCTCATGTACCCTTTACAGCTCATTTTATGTATGTTATTACCAAAGAAGTCAGTCAGTCACTTCATAGTGTCCGACAGTGACGTCTAGCAAGTAAACAGGTTTCCTTGCATAATTTGAATATTAGGTCACTGCTAACATTTAAATTTTTTATAGATAGGACATACGTGACATATTCATAATTCCTGTTTTGTTCTACAGAATTTGTTGTTGGTTGCAAATGGGACATAGTACCAGGCGCGGATCCAGGACTTCTTAAGGGGGGGGGGGCCCAAATTTGAAATCAATTTGAAATTTAGTGTGCTGAAATTTGAAAATCATGCTGGCTAAACAGTCACTAAACTCAATAGCATCCTTAAAATTAGTAAGAATTGGCCGAAATTAGTGAAAAGCAATCAGAAAGTTTAAAGTAACAAAAGAAGATTGTTTGGTACTGCTTAATCTCTCTTGCAATGTTTGCCACAAAGGAGTTCAATTCAGATCAACCCTCTGCATAACAAAAAGGGCAATTCATCTCATGTCCACCTCTTCAACTTCATATTCATAAGTATGTACTAATCATTGCATTCTTCCTCTTTTCAAGTTGCTAATTATTAAAATACATATATTACAATGAACATCATTATAATTGTGTTTCATATATTTTATTATAGAAATCAATTTTCCAAAAGATATTACTCATTGAGATAGATTTGGGGTAAAGGAACATGACCTGCATTCATGGTCTTATAACAACAATCACATGCTTACTGTCAAGTCTTCATTTGAATCAATACACCAAATCTTTCCAGGAAAGAATCAAATCTAATACATGTACTAAACATTCTGAAAAGAGAGTCGGCCACTTTCTTCCATAATTTCTATCTAACTAAACTCCTCCAAAAATAGATCTGCAATTCAAGTTTGAGCATTGATATCTCTCCTATCACATGTACTATAATATTATACTTGAATAGACCATTTTCATAACGTAATCAAATTGAATGCACAAATCTTTGTTATGTACCTTGTTACAAATTATTTCATTCACCCGTTACAAATACCGGGTCATTGTATTTCAATAGTCAGAATTCAAATTGCATGCATCAATTGTTGTATAATAATACCATAATACTGTAATTCTAACAATGACAGTGTATGGCCTATATTTACAAAGTATCCCGATTATTTGTAACAAGTGTATGAAATAATATGTAACAAGGTACATAGCAAAGATTTGTGCATTCAATTTGATTACATTCGGAAAATGGCCTATTCCATGGGTAAAGCATGCAGGCTTTTTCAGGCGCTTCACATTTTTGTATCTTGTATTAAACACACAGGAAATGAGTACACATGGGACCTTTTGCACATGCAGCTAAACATTTTCATCCCCAGTTGCCATTCAGTTAATTAGTTACCACAACAGTTTAGCGCATCGTATATGTACGAGACTTGATTCTTAACATCTGAACCTGCTTCTCACAAATATAAACTACTACATCCCAGAATAGATTAAGACTACCGGTAACTAGTAACTAATAGGTATTAGTTGAACAAATGTCATACTTCATACTGATTATCATCTGTAGTTACCAAGTGAAGTCAAGTCAAGTATCTCCTATTTTTGATAATTAATTGAAATGTTGAGAACTATTATTTTGTGTCATTCCATTTCCATGAAATTTTCTTCAATACAAACCACATAATTCATTATCTTATATATCCCACACATATTTAATACCGAGTTTATACAAACAAAAATGGCTGAGAGATGGAGGCTGGTATGGTAAGATATTGGCAAGTCTCATATTCCCTCCTCACACATGCATCATGCATTAAGATCACATTATTAAACACACAACACTTTCTAAAATATTTCTTTAAATTCAAGTGCACTAATCACCAAATAATATTTTGTTTTGTATGTTCGTATTTCCATTCTGTAATACTATACCTTAGTCAAAATATGAGCTTCAAATAATACTTCTGCAAAGAGATAGTGCAAGTTTAAATACACTCGCACTCGACATAGAAGCAACGTACTCGAAGCATCCATACACTCTTGCATAATATGGGACCCTCATGGAACGTAAGTTTGACTTGGGTTCCGTGTGGGCAGTTTTATGTTATCCATTATTTTCTTTTTTCTTCCTATCCATCACCCCATAGAATGCCATGTGTAATTTTGTATAGGTTGATTTTATAAATTCTAGCTGTGCACAAGTTATTTTGTAGGTGGTTGGTACACTTTAATTTGAATTCATATACTCAAACCTTGTGGTAGATTTACAACTAAATGAATGATAGAAAGAACGACAAAAACTGCACGATTTATTACAAGATACATGTATCACCATATTTTGTTTTTTAAAAACACAATGCATATTTGACTGCTTTCTCTTTTGCGCTTCACAGGCTTTGAGCTTTACCGTATAAAATGACCCCTAAAAGAAAAACGTTTTAAAAAGATATCTGAAAGATTGCAATGCCAATGGAAGATGGAGAATAAACATTCAAAATATAAAATCAAAATTCATTTATTTGAATTCAACATGATTAGGACACGAGTGTCGCATAGGAATTACTCTAAATAACTTTTAACTAGCAGAAAATTACTATAAAGTCTTTGCATTTCATATCTCCATTATCCCTGGAAAGTCACATCCAGTATTGGTGACATGGTTTTATATTAACTGTTTTTAAAAATCACCTTACATGATCGAATCTTATAACTGGTCGATTCAGGTAAAACCAGAAGAAATTTAAGATTTATCATCGCTTTCAATATATTTCTAAATTAGCATTCTGCACTTTTTTGTCTATCATCACTTTTGTAAATCCATTTGGCATCTTTGTTTACTTGTTTCATATATTATTCATGGGCCACTGGAAAGATTCTAAAAAACTTTAAAAAGGATCAAACCAAATAACCCAATATTAAACAGGATAATGAAAGGTTTGAACCGGTTTACAAATTGGCATTTGTGTTTACTGTTTAGAGAGCAAGAACTGAAACCTCTTTCTCAAATTTTCCTGCTTCATCAAAACTTCAAATGAATTTTGCACAAAAGTGGACAAACGAATGAAATGGGTTTTTAACATAACTGTGTTTCAAAACATCTTTTGTATCTCCAACTAAACATGCAAGAATGATCATCGCCTGTGCAGAACCTGGCATTATACTGATAAACAAATTATTTCAAAAGAGATCAAATCAATGGAGTTTTCCCATTTAACCTGCATGCACAGTATGATTATCTTTAATGTTTGTGAATCCCAAACCTGTTATGGAGTATCACCTCACAAAGGACAGGTTTACTTAGACATATTATGAAAGGCTTTTTAATTCTAATACACCTGTTTCAATGGGATGTACATGTAGGTAATCTTGTTCTTACAGGACAGTTTCATGAACTGATGCTCAGAGTCAAGTATGACCATAATAAAATTCAGTTTAATACTAGCACACTTCAAATATTTGTTAACCTCATACATACCTGTACTATTTCAGAACCAGATACAAAGCCAACTTAAAGTAAAGCTCTTTAATAAATATAAAGCAATGAATACAAGCTACAACATAGCATGATGTTCAATATTCCTCTGTGCGTTTAAGCCACGTTAAAGATATTAATATAATATCCGGAAATAAAACTATATTGTGAATATCTTCAAAGTAGTATTTAAAAAATTAAGCAAACCAGTTTCTGAAGAAGATACTATAAATCATTCCCATAAAAAAAATAACTTTTATATTTGTGACAAAGAAAAAAGCTAAACCTCTAAATAATATATCTGCATCTAAAATGCATGAAAGTTGTTTCACCTTCTCACATTAGTTCTCGAGTTAATGGATGTAGGAAAAGTATTCCCAGTTCCTAGGGTACTAAAATCTATGACAGCACTCCCTGAACTAATGGGTGCTAAACTTTGTGCTGTCCAGTCATTCTTGGTAAACTGCTGTCCTTGTCTGCTCCCTCCATACGCGCCACTTGGGTTTGTCCGAAGTATTCCTTTTAATTTAGCATCAGCCATTACAGGTGATGGAACATCATGCGATGGTACGTTATCCATGTCTGAATTGAAACTGATGTCTTTGAGTGGCGTTCCATACGGGGTGCTCTGTGCTCTTAGCGGTGGCGTGGGAGAATATGGATTTCCTGCACCATACAAGGTATTGTTTGTCATATGAGGTGGAAGAGATGATGCAACTGATTTGAATTGAGACTTAGGAGTAGACACTCCTGGGGTGAAGTCTTGGAGGGTTGTTCTGCTAGAGCCGATGGTAGTGGAGACAGGGTTGATGCGAGTCCATTCATCCTTGATGATCTGAATGGTAAGGATGTTAACTAGGTGAGAAAGCTTGTTGAACACATGAGCCAGGACCATCTGGAGAAGAAAGACAGAAAAGAGAGTGGTTACTCCCAGTCCTGATGCTTCGGTATGGCTTTCAAGCACATTTTCTATGATTAACTGTCTACACATATATATAAAACTGCATTACATCTAGTGTTGTCTTATTTCTTGGACAGAGCAATAAAATGCTCTGAAGCAGGCTCTCATGCACAATTTTCTAGTGTGATCTAATGATTATTGTCATGAATCACAATGTTTAAATATTAAAAGAGGCAAGTTGGCTCAGTCGATAAAGCAACTGCCTGTTGAACCAAAGATCATGGGTTTATACCCAACCCAAGCTGATTTTCATAGATGCAGGCTATGTCACAGTGAAATACACCCTATCTGTTGGATAGGATATTTAATGGAGGCCTGTGAAGAAGAGAGTGACCACCTTTGCACGTTAAGAACAACAGTAATTATATTATACCGGAGTGTTAGCTCAGTCAGTAGAGCGTCCGCCTCACAACCGGGAGGTCGTGGGTTCAAACCCCGGCCGCGTCATACCAAAAGACGTTAAAAGATTGGAGTTGTTGCTACCTTGTTTGGCGTTCAACAATAAGGGATAGAGCAACGTTGATCTGGCGCTGCTCAGTGGCTGCCGGGCTCACCATCAATTGGGCAAAAAGAATTTCCATTTCGGTTTAATAAAATTTGGAGTGGACTATTAGGCTATTATTATTATTATTATTATTATTATTATTATTATTATTATTATTATAATTATAATTCTGCATTCTGAACTTGAATGCATTTTTAATACACATTTAATGACTACTTTATATTTATACTATCCTTTCATTTTACTCTCAATATAAAGGTACAATGAAACAGACCAGAAGTACTTCAAATGCAACTAATTGAACAAACTCAATTGACTTATATGAAAGCAAGCATAAAACTCAAACCTGTTCATCAGCATCTCTTCTCACTCTGACATTAAGTGACCCTGCCAGTTGACCAAATGATAATGTCCAAAAGTGCTCATTGCGAAATTCCAGTACACCGTCTAGTGTGGATGCCTGTGTAAAGTTAATTCACACATTTAGAAATATGTTTGTCCCAAGACAAAAGGAAATGAATAGAAAATCATTTGTGTCTTGTACAGGTACTTATCCATGATGTACATGTATAACAATTAAACCTTCTGAATTCAAACTATTGAAAGATTGAGTTATTATCTGTTTTCTTTTACTTCTTCTTCTTCTTCTTCACTATAAGTACAGGCCACCATCAGGAGTATTCTCATCAAGAATAAGTCTTTTATGAGAGAATAAATTGGTATTCATTAACTTGAATTTTATAAAGATTCTTTAATGACATTGGAATACATAAAGAGCCATTTAAATTCATAAAATGTGATTATGATTAATGGAGGTGCAAACATTAATGATCATTTTTTTTAAACAATTTTACTCATGTGATAGTATCATTGATTTGCTACTTTTCTCTATAATTTGATTAAAATCCCTTTAACAAACTTCATATCACCTTCATGGTGCATGATCCTACATACCTCTCGCAAACTTTTGTCGAGTTGTCCCAGTATGTGTGCAGGTGTGGTTTGTAGCAGTATAGTGCCTGAGTATACACTCATAGGAAACATGGTTCCTACTGTCATCATAGCTATGCACAGGGCTGCTAGGGGGTCTGCCATGTGAAAATTACTGTGGAAAATATAAAGATCCAAAAAGAAATAAATGTATTTACAACCGTGTTTCTTACCAAGTGGGCATTTAATTGTATTTTCTAGCTGTACCCAAATTATGTTTAAGTGATTTGTACACTTGAATAGGTTCTTTGAAATGAAGAGTGAGCTTGACACAATGACAATGGCTAGATGGTCAATGCTTAAATAAAGTCTGGAGCAATAGTTGCCTGAGTAAATGATTGAGCATGTGGCAAGGACTTACTTCATATCGACCAGGAAGTCTGTTACACAGAGAGATAACATACTACATAGTCCAATCAAGATGAAGGGATTCACTCGAGGTAGCAACAGATGATCTAAACCAGGAACGACTGTACAAAAACTACATCAAAAGAAAATAAACAAGAACAGTGAAATACAGATTAAAAATGAATGGAAATGCAGAGAAAAGAACGATTCATCTTGAATTAATACAATTCCCATGACTGTGCAGAACTGTAAATATAATATTAAGATTGTGTTTATACAATCATAGGATAATGCATTTATTAGTTTCAAGAAATAGACATTAGGTTCCTTGTTGAGTTTGGAGTAATCATTCATTTCTGTTTTTACAACAATATTTGATTTACATGTTCTCTTTTAGAATATCAAGTGTAAAGATAATAATATTAAAATATATTAGAATCTGTTGAAAGATTTGTCAGAAGGAAAAGTAAAAGGTACCGGACGAAGAACCAACTGGGAGGGAAACAATTAGACATAGAGTAGAATGACACTGCAAGAGTGTACTAGAATGGCAGAGAAAATAGATGTGTGTAAAAATGTTGAAATCAACCTCTAAGCTGGGAGAAGATACCTTGATAGCTAGAACATTCAACTAAACTCCTCACCTCTGGCAGATGTCAGCAAAGTGTTCCTGCAACCAGCTGCTCTTAGATGCTGTGCTGACATGACTAAAGGCTTGGTTCCTAGACCCATACAATAAGACGAGATGACTGAACAGACCCAAGATGGCTCCTAACATGAGACGACCTGTGTGGATCTCTGGAGGTTGAATGATCCTCTCCGTACTGTACACAACATAGCAACAGGAATAATGTTATCCCACAACATCTGTTCAGTGTTTTAAATGAATGTTTACCTACCATCAGAATATATTCCAACATCTAAATAGACATTCAAGTTTTTTAAATAAAAAAAATAACTCCATGAATTACCAGGTATTTCTTCTATGATTTTCCTCATTTCTACAAAATTTTAATTACTCAAATGTTATCTCTAACTTTAAGCAAGTATAGAATACTTAATATGAATGCCAAAGTATGTCTTCCAGCAACTTGCAGCAGATGAGAAAATGTCTCTTTCTTGACTGTTCTTATATATTGGATATATCTGATAGGCCTATCTACTTGTACATCATAATATCTGTTTGTTTACCCAGCACCGTTTTAAATGAATTTGCACGTTTATACAACTTGTTCAAACATTGATGTGGTGCAAGGGATAACCATAATTACCATTTCTTGATATGGGTAGAAATGAACATGAAATACACATTAAATTTACATGCCCTGCTAAAGAGTGAAAACATTCTTCATCAAAATGAGACAGTCATCAGAAGGTCATAATTCACTGGCACCAGACTCAATGGAAACACCATTAATGGGTGTACAAGTCTCGCACACAGCAAACCTGTGGACCCCTCAACAAAATACATCCTAGTCTCTTGATGAGTTTTCAGGTGAGAGAAATGTAAGATAATTACTTTTCCCTATGGGCAATTGGTGGAAAAGCAGATCATAACATAAGGCCTGTGGGTCACAAAACTGAAGGCTAATCCAGGTGACTGACAACACCTGGTATATGGGTTAACATCCAAATGGTGTTGAATTCCCCATGAGAGCCCACTACTATGCATCTTTAAAGTCGTTCATGGTTCAAAATTATTTAAACCTCACCTTTCTTTCATAATGAATATTGAACCGAAGATGGCAAGCATCGTGGTAGAGAAAACTGCCAGAACTTCAAATCTTTCATACCTGGAATTAAACAGAGACCAATTAATTTAACAGAAAACCTCCTGGGAAGAAATCACTATGAACATGACAGACAAAGAAAGCGGACAAAATATACAGTTCCTCAGGTAGACAAAGGCACATCCCTTCACTGCTATGTGTAGAACAGGTGTCACATGCATATTCACCTGTTCTACACATTTTTACATAATAGCAGTGAAGGGATGTTCCTTTGTCTACCTGAGGAACTGTATATTTTGTCAGCTTTCTTTGTCCGTCATGTTCATAGTGAATGTGAAATCATAAATCAAAGACGGATTTATAATGAAAGAATTACATGTACAGTGTACAAAAACATACTGAAGCTGTATGTCTTGTAAATCACAACAACAATGACCTAGAAATTGAGAACTTGTGCAGTATGGTTCATACATTGACAAAACAAAGGGTCTTCAATCATGAAGAATGATAAGTATCGATACATTGGGAGCTACAGGTATGTACCCCAAAAGTATCAGAAGACAATGAATTTTTTTTAAGCAGTATATCAAAGAGAACATATACCGAAGGTGAATAATCAGAAAAATAGCATATTGTGATTATATTATATTAGAAAGATTCTACATCAAAAGACAGTAATTGAGAGCAGCATTAGTAGAATGGATGATTTAAATTGTACCTTAATATCATTTGCATAAGAAACATGCACATAGATTTCAATGGTTATTCATATGATGTGGACTTTTGTAAGGAAGAATACAAAGTGGATTTACCCGTAAGTATAAATGCTTGAAGGTCTTTGCTTGGTGACCCAAATAGTGATGAGACATACCCCCAGAGATAGAACATCAAATAATATGATGTAGGTGAATGCTGTCAAAGCTGAAAACAAAATGTACAAATTAGTGAACAGATCATCAATCACTGGAAAATGCATGTTACATGTCCATTAAATTTCCAATTTATGAGGTGATTTTCACCATGAGTGATACTAGCTACAAGTTATCAGAAATAGTTGTATATCTTAATCTTGAGCAGATTTTTAAAAAATATGAAGAAAACTTTAGTGCATTTAAAACACAAATGTTAAGAGTTGACTGCAATATATTATTCTTTGGTGTGTACTACAAGATCTACTCTAAAAGGACTATGAAGTATTAACAAATTCACTAGCAAATATTCTGAATTATTGCCAAAGCCTTTTTCACATCTAAATCTTAAAGGTAATAAAAAGTTTTGGGAAATTTTGAAAATTTGGTGGATAGTGAATTTTTACAATTTTGTTATATCTGGATGCCCCTGTGGATGTATTATAAGCACTAAAAAGATTAGCCCCTAAAACACTTCTGTTTTCAAGAAAAATTGAATATAAAAATTAACCAGTGCTCCCGGTAAATTTTGATAAATTTCAAATAGCGCCTACGGCCGTACAATGGTTGTTGCGACCATGAAAATCTCAGAATATGTAGTTGTGATATATAATTTCCAAACGGGAATAGCTAATCGGTCGATTTTAGTCAAGAATCATTGTTTCATAGCTAAATTAATATCTTGACCTTGAAAGGGAGCTATACAACATAAAGAGTTTATTATTTATAATTTCATAACTTTAGACTCGATTTCAACCGCGACAACGACCAATAAATATTGTAGGAATGCATATGCTTCCGAAATTGTTAATTTGAACCAAATTCATGACCCCATACCAAAACTTTGTAATACCTTTAATGAAAAAATATTCAAAAGGTGCTGCTTCATCTTACTAACTACATCTTACCTATACTGTTGGTTGACTGACACCACAGCAGCATGGTAACAATGCACAATGTTCCCATCAATCCTAGCATAAGGACTCTTTTAGCCTACAGAGAGGAAATATATAAACATGCATAATATGAATTAATTAACTGGCCATTATTAATACAGACATACAAGTACATCAATCATAGACATGATGGAATACAATCACTCCATTTGGTCACCATGATGTAAACAACAGTAAGATGCAATCAGCCCCTGTCAAAGCAATTATTTAATATTGTTTGCATGAAATAAGAAAAATTAATATGTAAACTAGTTATAAGCTCTACTTAATTTGCTTGAAAATATTTACTACACTGTTAGTCTATGCCACACATTTGACACTACATGAGATCGTGATACAATACTGAAAGCTGATTCAGAACTTTACTAAACCTTAATATTCTAAAATAAAATAACCTGGGCCCTGTAACATTAAAAAGTTACAATTAATTGTATCTCAGGACTCAAACTGACTGTAAATACTTTCACCAATAGTAAACTTTACAAGAAAAAGTACCTTGGGAAAGAAAGATAGAGAGGCGGGAGAGAGGAGAGAGGAGAGAGGACAGGAAGAGAAAGAGAAAGAGAAAGAGAAAGAGAAAGAGATAGAGACGAACATGATGTTATCCTACTTACTCTATGTTCCTTCAGGACTGATCTCAACTCTGTCATTATCCTTGAGATTATACCATGCTGAGGTCTGGAGAAAGGCTGAATAGTACCGTGGACAGAATCACTGCCACCGTTAATACCTGTTATAGAACAATGCAAAAAACAATGACAGCTGATTCATAAAAAATGTCTTATTTCTCAGGAATATCAAATTCTTGTTCAATAGAATGACATGGTAAAGCAAAGAAGCAATACACAGAAAATGTTCACTTGACAAAAAAATCATAAAATTAATGATAACTCCAGAAAAAGCTGTGTTACCATGCCAATGGCATTTAAGCAGTAGAGGCGCTAGTCCGAGACTACCGAGAATAAAGATCGTCTGCGAGCCTTTTATCAAGTCAAAGCAGACCGGGAGCCAAATATCTGAAAAAGCGGCTCCCGGAACCAGGAGCCATTCTCCAGGACCAGGAGCCGTTTCCAAAATTTGTATTTTGAAAATATGTATTCTTTTAAATTATTTGTTATTTATACGGTACTTTAATTTCTAGTTTAAATTTTGAGCACTCTAATGTTAAATCACTCATACCTTGGATAAATCTGTCATTTGTAGTTGTTGTATTTCATACTATTTTCATGCCGTTAAATGTCAAAAATTGAAAAATGTTAGGAAGGGGGAAATCAAATTATTTTCATTAAAAAAAAAATATTTAAGAAAAACCATCTATAATGAATGCAGAACTGCCAACCTGTCACTTTAAAAAAAACATATTATTCAGCTTGAAAAAGCTTATTTTAGGTGAAAAAACATATTTTGCCTGTTTTACGTTTTTGTTATTTTCCCTATAAATGCTATTAGGATCTACATTCATGTTTCATTGAATAAAAATGCATTCAATCATTGAGAGCGGCCGACCTGTCACTTAAAAAAATAAAAATAATAATAATAATAATTAGAAAATTATTGGTTTGACGTGAAACCCATGAAAAAGTGTATACCAATACTTGACCTAGACTATGTTATCTATCAATGTTTTTCCAAAAATACTCCAAAATACGTCCAAAAATTGACACAAAACAGGTACATCTAGACCTAGAGTCTAATATTAAAAAAAATAAACATTAGATTTAGAGGTCTATGACTTTTAACTCATGATCTTTAAACATTTGTCTTTGATGAATAGACAGACCCTATATTAGGCACATTCATGGGGCACTAGAGGGCGCTTTGCGCGCGTACGAAAATCTGAATGGCCTTGCTGCGGTGGGTCGGCAATAATCAGCCCAAAACTTGGATATGGGAGGGTGGAAGGATATATCTTTTTTATAATGTTATCTGGTCTTACCCTTAACCATCCTATGTTTAATCTATGTAGAAATAACATGCGAGTACGATAAGAGAAACATCGGGCCCATTACTGATGCAAATTTTAAAATATTAGCCTAGAAATGACCACCAAACGGAAAAAATTGACATTTTTTCCCAACAAATCTTCATAAAATCTGATTTATAAACAAGTCACATCTAGGTACACTAATACAAATACGATTTTCTGAAAATTCAGGTATTATTTTTTAGGTTTCTTTCAAGTATATTTCTGCGCATTGCAGCGCCAATGTTCTTCACTGCTTCAAAATCACCCTTGAATTTTTTTTTTGCAACGAATTTGTTACGAGGTCCGCGAGTGTTCCCCGTTCCTTGCGTGTTGAAAGTTTGGTAATACATAGTTTACATTGACTCGCGCACGAAAAAATGGTCGAAAACAAAATGTCAAATGAAGAAATAAACAAGCTTTTGTATAGTTATAAGAGTTCTACCGAGGTTTCTTTGTCGATTTAATTTATTATATAGTCTCAATTAGAATTCAGAATTATCTCACTGAAAAGTTAAGAAACCGACGATGTTCTCGATCGTAGTTATTTTCATTTTGCCAGCAGCCGATCTAGCGTTGTTTGGGCAAAAAGCTAGGCCGCTGCCTTCCCACCTCGAACCTTTCCGAGTCCCGCTAAAATGGTGCGCTGCGGAGCTCCGAAGCTGCGTTGGTATCGCTGCAAACTCTCAGCCGGCCAGCTCCCCACGACGGACCATTCGCGGTATGGCGAGAGTGTGTGTGTGAGGTATGATTTTGGATTCGAGAACGCACGTAATGCAACCGTGCGCGTCATTTTCAGCTGTCGAATGTATACGACCAATTTCACATGTACGATTTTTAGTACAGATACTTGGTCAGTTTTCTTCTTATATCTTTGGTTTTACAACATTTAAAAATATAATTTCTTCAAATTTGCTCCTGACTCGGTTCAGACTAATTGTGTGATGTGTTTTCAAGTCAATTTTTTGAATATATATTTTTGCATGAATTTGCCTACCTAGACTAGGTCTAGAGTAGCGGCTCCGGTGTGCGGCCGTATAGTAGGAATTGCCGATTTTATTTTTTATGCAATTACTCACAGAATGCTTCAATACCGTCAATGGAGAGTTCATATATTTAGTTATTAAATAAAAGGCACAAATAACGTAACTGACCCACAGCGTGGTCAGTACTGTCCACTTTAGAAGACGTAAAAGTTGCCCGGTTTGCGGCCGTGCGTAACCCGGTTTGCGGCAGTGCGTTGCCGGTGCGCTGTTTAAGTATAATTTGGCTGTAAATATTAGAGAATATTGGTCTTTTCATATTATTTTATACTTTAAGCATGTATTTCCTTCTGTTATATTTATTTATCTTCAATTAAGAAATCATTTTGATTCATGAATAGGCATTTAACCTTCATATTCTTTTCATCCTGTCCAGGTATATCCCGACCCAGAAAATGTAGGACAGATGTATAACCTCTTTACGTCATAATGCCCCGATTTTTTTTAGTGTTTCTTCCTTCCCGAACTCATTGTTGTTGTTTAGAAATAAGTCTATCATTTACTGAATGCTTATATCTTCATTTTTTGTTTGCATGGCATTTTAAAGAAATAATTTAATGTAAATATTCTGGTTTTAATTAATTTTAGCATGCCCTTTTTTTCCCTTGTAAACTTTATAGTTTATCTGTGTCGATCTACATGCATGCTTGATTATTTTGTTGCATTTAAATCTGTTCAATAAATTATCAGCCGAGTCTCAATGTAAAAGCTTTGTTCATTCATTGGGTCCCTCTTTCAATTCACGGCTACTCTTATCTCTCCCTCAACTAAAATCCTTACATTCCTTAATTCTCTTTCTATTTTTTCTCTATCTTCTATTATCTCTCACACACGTATACACACACACACACACTCTCTCTCTCTCTGTCAATCTCTCTCCCCCCCCCCCCCCCTCAACTTCTCTCAGCGCTTTCTCGTTTATCACTTTACATACATTTCAATCAAAGTAATCACCCAATATTCGAACGAAATAAATAAAGATAATTTCTAAGACTCTGAATTCATGATGAACAAACTTGATTTTGGTTGAAATCCAAAATCATTTTATTTACTTTTTCCTTCTTTTTGTCCTCATGCTGATCTATTTATCTCTCTCTCTCTCTTTGTGTGTGAGTAGAAACACAAGTTTCTTGAACATTCATGAATTAGTAATTGACTTTCGATATGATGTAAAATTAAACAAAATTATTTTACACAAGTGTGACGAAAGTCCTATACAATTGGACCTTTGGTATGATGTAAAATGAAATATAACAGAATGAATAATAGGCAGTGAAATTAAAATGAAGGAAATTCATAAACTGTCAATAAAATATGCAACATAATATTTAGATAATAAAGGAATCAATTTACAGGTACATCAAATCAAATAAATTGCACTTGAACAGGTTGAGGTACGAAACTACTGCATTGCACAAATAAAATACGGAATGAGACCTACATGTAAAATAGGCTATTTTTGTCGAAAATAAACTAAGTTATACAAAATAAATAGGTATAAAAACAAAGGTTTTACAACGTCAACAGTTGGGAAGTATAATGGAGAATAAGGAGAGCAAAACAGATTTCGACAACGACGAAGTCGACGAGATGGTTTGTAACGAGTGCTGGATGATTTCGACAATGAAGACAACGACAACTGTGTAGGCTGCAACCACATCAGTGCTTAAAATACCCGCTTGATTTAAAAAAGGAAGAAATAAATGGACGGAAGATTCATTAAACAATACAAATTATTAAAAACGTAAAATTACTCTTCATCGCAAACCCCGCATTTAAAATCGGTTGCTTCAACTTCCTCTATATTTAGCCCAATTAATTCCGTGCACTCAACGTGAAACCACCGTGGGCAGTAGTTGCACCCTACACAGTTGTTGCTGTCTTCATCGTCGAAATCGTCCTGGCACTCGCTGCAAACCATCTCGTCGACTTCTTCTTCCCTTAATTGCACCTTCCTCGATCTCTTCCCTCCCTTCTTCTTCTTCTCTAGCTTCTCCTTCTCCTTCTCTGCCTTCTTAGCTTCCCTTTCTTCCCTTTTCTTCTTCTTCCTTTCCTCTTCAGCCTCCTTGTCGCTTCGCCTCTTTGTCTGGTACCTGATCCAGTCTAGACCGGAGATGGCGTTCGGGAGCTCATCCCCGGTCTTCCTCTTTGGGGCACTCCTCACTGCCTCGGGAAACTTGAGATACTTGTCGAAAGCAGGGGACACGTAGGTGGGTGGCCGATATTGATAGGCAGTGCTGGGTCTTATTGGCATGGCGGTTGAGGTTGATGGTTCTTCTTGGGCGGGTGGCGGTGCTGGAATGACTGGGGCGGCTGGTGGTGGTGCTGGGGCGGCTGGTGGTGGTGCTGGGGCGGCTGGTGGTGGTGCTGGGGCGGCTGGTGGTGGTGCTGGGGCGGCTGGTGGTGGTGCTGGGGCGGCTGGTGGTGGTGCTGGGGCGGCTGGTGGTGGTGCTGGGGCGGCTGGTGGTGGTGCTGGGGCGGCTGGTGGTAGTGCTGGAGCGGCTGGTGGGGTGGCTGGTGGGGTGGTAAACACCTGCGACGGGGCAAGTTTGTCCCGGCAATATCCACGTGTGAAAGGATATATGCCTGCCGCTCTGAAGCCTGCCGTGGCCAACTCTGGTTTAATGTCCGCCCATGCATTGGCGAACACGCCGGCAAAGAATGCCTTGGTGACGAACTGACCAGGATGCGCATCCTTCCACTCCCCTTCCCTCTTCTTGTATGCCTTCTTCAGAGGTCCAAAGACTGACAGGTCTAGCGGCTGGATGATGTGGCTCGCGTGTGCCTGTAACCTGTACAAAATTATATTGTTATGCTGGCAAAACTCTGCTACATGCAGGTCGACGTGGCTAGCGTGACCATCCACAAGAAGGAGCACGGGAAAGTGGGTTCCACGGCTCAGTAGGAATGGATGGAAATGGTTGGCGAGCCATGAATAGAACAGCTCGGAGTTCATCCATCCACTCTCACTGAAGCCGTACAACCAGCTTTCCGGTGCTCCTTCCATTGGCTTCCAGTTCCGGGAGACCCTCTTCCCCGGGTAGATGACGAACGGGGGACAAAAGATGCCACTGGCCGATGCTGCCTCTAGCGTACTCAAGTTGGTCTTGGTGGTCGACGAAAATGAATACACGAACTTCGCCCCTCGCATCCCGATGACCCTGTCTCCCGTCGGCGAGAGAGCAAAGCCACTCTCATCTGCATTCCAGATTCTGTCCGGGCACGATAAGATGCTCACTGCATTCTTCTCCACCATGTATTGGTGCAGTCCCTCGAACCACTTGTCAATTTTCTGAGGGGTGAGGACTGCCCTCTCCTGCCCTAGAGCTTGGGGGGTCCTCAGGGAAAGGGTGGGGTTTCTAGTCATAAAACGACTGAACCAATTCTTCCCCGGCTTGTCGTCCTTAAACGGGTTGGGTCTCCCATCATCCCGGATGATCCGCTGGGCCATCTGCATGAGGTGAAGAAAAGGAAAAGGAGAAAAAGGAAAATCGTAATATGAATCCATGTTTAATGATGTAATTAATTCAATAAGTGAAATGAGCAATTTGTTGGTTTAAATTTAAATAATTTCCGTACGAATCTTCAATCTAAATCAGAATAAAGCTTTTTTTATATTTTCTTCTATAAAGTCACAGTTAAAACACGATTGTGGAATTGTATTATATCATCAAGTAAAATAAAAGTATATAGGCCTACTTTATTTTTTATGTATCTTATTACCTGCAATATTTGGGGCTTGGTCCTACCATAGCCAATTCTCGACATCTGAATTGCCCAGGTGGCAATTTTCGCTTCCTCGGCCATGGTCAGGTAGGGGGATGGCCCCATGGCACACATCTCAGGGGGTCGTCGACCTGATATCTTATCAAAGATTGTTGCCCTCGGTATTCCATATTGTGCGGAAGCCTGTCTCTGGGATAGCTCGCCCAATCTAACTCTATTTACAGCCTCCGCCAGTGAGGCCCCTGTATACTTTCTTCTTGCAGGCATTTTCTGTTAATGAGGAAAATAGGAGAAAATGTATTAACAGAAAACTAGATGCAGATTAGGTGAAGCATTTCTAGAACTTAATGTCATCATACCATTATTTTCATTACCATCCATTATTAAGCAGCTTTTGAAATATTGAAACAGAAAGAAAATATTAGGAGACTACATATAGTCATAGCTATCAGCTGCCACGACATAGGCCTACAATATCATTAAAAAAGAATCAATGAATCTTTATTCCATTTCCCATTAAAAAAGACATTACTGAACTACAAAATACAATTAGATCTAGAGTCTAGATGTATCAAACTATCCTTATCATATTGTTAATATAATTAAATATTCAACGTAAGGTTATGATAATTTCATCCATTCGAAGTATTTTCATTTTTGATAACGTATGTTCGAGATCGAGACGCGACCTACTAGTATAGATCGAGATCGATGCACCTGTTGCTTTGTTTCAATTAGTGCGCTACGATACATCTACAGTACGTCACAAAGCTATATGCCACGTCACGATCAAAGCATGTACCAAACTACTACGGGTGAGCCAAGTAATGATTGTCTATCTCTTGTTACGGTAAATTTATTAAGTTTGAAACAAATTCACCTTTTCCTTGAATGGTACCTCCCGACTAGAATAAAAGAACGGAGGAAAGGGGTGCGAACTACTAGAAACTAGAGGGTACACACCTCGGTTCATTATACTTTTCAACATACAACGTTCACGCCTATTTGCGACAAACACCAGCTAAATAACTTTAAAATGATATCAAATTTTATATTTTGAACTAACGAACTCAATAAAAACAACTAATGAAATGCAGAAACCCGTAAAATCTACCAGAACCAATGATTTAATCAACGACGTAGACGTGCTCTGAACGCAACACCACGTTACACACAAACCCGCATTTTATACGTGTATTAGCGCCCCCGGCCGCAAGTAGGGCGTGGCCACCAAATACGTCATAGCTACATGGCCACCCCCTTAACTAGCTCTGCGGCGGCATTATCAAAATGTCTGCGATACAGGACGGACCACAGCCAACATACTCTCACATCAACACCAAATTTCACCTCCAATCGGACGAATAGAGCTATAATATTGATCTAGTTATGTCTCAATCTCTTAACTCACCTGTTAGCACCTGCTGATTTTCTTATCGGCGACTGGTGACGTAGATTTCCGTCGGCGTCAGCGGAGAATTCGTACGGCAAGTACTTGTACTGTCGATGTATTTCGGCAAAGCATACTTACCTGGGAATCCAGGGGTAATTTTTTAAGCGCATATAATTAATTTGCATATGCTAATTACTTTGACCTTGACCGAGGGCCGCAAACCGGGCTATGCCGCAAACCGGAGCCTCTACTCTACTATCTACTTCATTTTCTGATTTTGGATACGTTTTACTTTTAGTGGGGTAGGGTCTAGATCTAGATCTATCTCCACGGCCACGCCGGAGTTATGGGTCAAATTTTGGATAGGCTTCTGAACTAGCGCCTGATTTTGAATTAGCTCCAGAAAACAGAACACCCTAGCCCACTTGGCTTACCAGTATGATCGTGCCCGTGGCCGTGATGCCCGTGCCCGTGGCCGTGATGCCCGTGCGCGTGTCCAGATCCTTGTTGGCTGTATGCCCCAGCTGTTGGGGATGCCTTTCCATAGCGGTGGCCACGGTTTCCCACGGCGTCAACATCCATCGACGTATCAAAAGCGTCAATATCTATGATTTGGCTCCCGTAGTTTAGAGCCATGTCAGAGATCTCAAAGTAATTAAAGGTCTAAGTATCTATTCATTCACTCCTTTGACTTTGAGTATATAGAACTAGACAGAAAACAGTCCACACAGACATAACACATCAGTACTTAGTTTGCCACGAAAGTTTCGTTTACGTGTAAAGTATACAGGAAATATAATAGCTAGGGAAGCGCCTATTGGACAAAACCATATTTTCACCGAAATTTCAGCGAATCAAAACAACTATTAGATCAATGGCCTTGCTAGCTCTCTTCAAGGTGTTTTTATTTGATATAAATTATGAAATACTATTATTGATAATTCAAAGACAAAAAAATCTATCAAAAAAACATTTTTATTTATAATTACAAATTTAAAAATAAATGTTTTTTCAAAATGAATGAAATAATTCTCAAGAAAATAAATTGGAAAAAAAAAATTGTCCTTGATGGAGAAGATTTTACAACTCCTGGTTCCGATTGTAGACTAGATCTAGAGGTGTAGTCTGCTAGTACCTACTTGGGTGGAGAGACTGGAAGCTTAGCTTATTTGTCCCTCTTTACTGTTGCTTTTATTTAGTCTTGGTCCATTCTGTCAATTTTTGTGAAGAAATATCTTTCTGAACTACGAGTTGCTGTAAATCAACAACATTATAGTTTTATACAGCTGCTAGTGCTACCTAACAGAGTACAGTCACGTCATTGCACTATTTTTTTCTCCATCTGCAGATCTGACTTCTGAACACTGCATTAACAGTATACAGTAACACTACATATATTATAACAACATGGAAATGGAAGATCAACATAGATGGAGTGGACCAGGAGGAATGGTCTATGCAGGACTTTTTCTTGGAGCTAGTTTTGTAATCTTTACTAAACTAAAATTCAGAGGCGCAGCCTTTAGAAGTGTTGCCAAGCTGACTGGAAAGACGGCCATTATCACAGGTGCAAACACAGGAATCGGGAAGGAGACGGCCCTTGATTTTGCTCGCCGTGAAGCAAGAGTAATTCTAGCCTGTCGAGACATTGCAAAGGGACAGAAAGCTGTAGAACACATCAGACGTCTCACAAATGCAGGGGAGCTAGTTGTGATGAAGCTAGATTTAGCATCGCTCAAGTCAGTAAATGCTTTTTGTGAGGAATTCTGCAACAAAGTCGGTCGACTGGACATCCTTGTCAACAATGCAGGAGTGTTTCACACCCCATATACAAAGACAGAAGATGGCTTTGAATTGCAATTTGGAGTCAACCACCTTGGACACTTCCTCCTCACAAACAGACTCCTGGACTTACTAAAGGCTTCTGCACCATCTCGTGTAATCATTGTGTCTTCAGCTCTACATAAACGAGGTCTTCTTGACTTTTCAAAGCTTAATCCAGAGGAAAGCGAGTATGACAAGGCCAAAGCCTATGCCAATAGTAAGCTGGCCAATGTGCTCTTTGGTAAAGAACTGAGCAAACGACTTGATGACCAAGGTGTCATTACTTATACCCTACATCCGGGTGTGATCAACACTGAACTTGCACGTTATCTTGGATATTCCAAGACATTCTGGGCTGCTACATTTCCCCTGCGTTGGCTCTTCATGAAGTCCCCCTGGTATGGAGCACAGACCACTATTTACTGTGCTGTTGCTGATGAGTTAGAGGCAGTGTCAGGGAAATATTATGGCAACTGCAAAGAAGAACCTTACCCAGAAGTAAAGGGAACTGCTGATGATGCTGTTGCTACCAAACTTTGGGAGGTGAGCGAAAGGCTAACAGGACTTACTTCTGAGTAATTCTACTGATGCTGAGACCACATCCAATCAAAGCTCCTGAAACAATATGTTATGATAGACATTACGTAACTACATCACATGTTTGTTCATTATATTCTCAGATGTACAGTGTTAAAATCATATAGCACGTTGCTGTGGCAGTTTGTAACCTAAAACTTAGTACCGGTATAGTGACTATAGTCTATAGTTGTGCCCATTGTTTCAGCATGATCCATCTTGATTTTCTAGATGTGTCTATTCTCAAGTCTTCATGTTTGATTCCATCTTTGGAATCAACCGAAACTGCTGAGAATTGATCACCAGCTTTCAGATTATTGCCAAGAATGAATGATAAATGATTTTTTGGTGTTGATTTTATGTGAATGTGAATTGTGAAGTTTATGAAAATGTTAAGTAATGAATTACATGTAAATTATAGTTACAGACTGTTTTTGGTACTAATTATTTGGTGTACAATTGTACATCACATACATGTACATACATGTATTTGTGTTTTTGACAAACATATTGCTCCAGCAATTCTGTATGTTGTGTTTAATGCATATCAATCATGATAATAATGGTAGTAATAATATTGAAATAATAACTATGATAATATTAATAATAATATTAGTAATAATAATAATAATAATAATAATAATAATAATAATGGTAATAATAAATGAGATGTGTAAAGCTCCAAATCCACTTCAAATCAAATACTCTGGGTGCTTTTGTGCATTCAAAAAAAATGCTCAGAATATGATTGGAGCATACTAAATCCTAGACCGAAAGCTTCAGTCTCTCTAATCGTCGGTTGTTCCACTGAGACTACGTCTGGCTCCACTAGACCTCCGATTACAGAGACTGAAGTCTGGGGACCTCTTTCTGTGAGGCACTGTACGGAACAAATGGTTCGGTTCGACCGGACCGCGATGAATGAGATATGCAACGAGATTTTCACTCTTTACATCCTCATAACTGCTGCAATTATAACACAAATTAAAAATAACATATATATAGCTTATTTGACTTACGATAGCTTGCTCATTTAGATCCAAAATTAATGATTAATCCGAGAAAGTCTCGTCGTCAACATTATCCGTCTTGGTGTTAGTTGATGAATCTTCATTTTTTCTTTTCGAACGTCCAATAGCTACCGTAGCTACGTACGAGTAAGCCCAGCTTGACCAACGAACTCCCACGAAACGAGTGCTCTGATTGGCCATTTGGCTATGTTTTGGTAGGTTGACCCGGAAATATTTTGGCCGCCGGGTCATATAGCCCTATGTTCCGAGTGCATGAACGTTCGGAGATACAAATTGGATAATTCATATAAGTAAGTCCGTAAATTATCAATTTAATATTGAGTTATCAAATTTTGATAACTGTAATTAGGACAAATGACATACCGACCTAATTTACATCTGATTTAGAAATCAGGAAATTAGATCTAAATAAAGAAAATCGGGGAGAAAATGTCGTGGACGAAAATATGTACATAGCCTGCCCCACGGTACGAGATCTCTGGGTTGCCATCTGTATTGGGGAATGACAACAAATGTCAGTTAAAAAGAAATGACCCAAATCAGATGGTTATTGCTGTCTAACTAAATCCTTAATATCTGACTAAGAAGCTGACATCATTATAGCTTTTGGAGGAAACACGTTTTAAATTTACTTCAAGTATAGTAAACTATTTCATTTACAAGAGCTTCTGTGCATGTATAAGATATATATATGTACATATTTTTTTTAAAAGTGTGGTACATGTACTGGTATAATTTGAAATAGCATAATTTCAAATTTCTTGGCACATATCATTTGTTATCTAATACTTGATATAGTTCAACTATATGATTAATAAAAAGATGCACACCATTGAAAAGTAAGCATTGTTTATGTTTTGATAAATATCATGCCAAGCAACAACAAAAAAATCCTTTGCACAGTCAGAGGTATACTGAATACCCAAAACTCAGCATCGTTAGATCCCATATCTCTAAAATTACTTTTATTTGCAGCTACTTGTAATAGAATTTCAATAAAAGTCTATTTAAAAATTGTGTGAGAGCAATGCTGATATTGTACAAACCCAGAATGCAAACCTTATGTCATCATCTTTTGAAATCTTACAGTAACACCTACAAAAGTAAGATTAATTACATAAAGATGATGTCATCAGAGTTCATGAACCACAAATCTCTTGTTCCATAATGCCTCTGCTTAAGTTTATTGTGCTTCACATTCATGTATCTTATAACATACAGATTAGAGTTTGTGTAGGGTCTATTGTTGTGCACAGCTTCATCTATATGTCTCTTCATTTATTTGGGGGAGGGTCTTTTTAACATCACCACATTGCCTTTTGCCATACATGTAAATGTGTTCTTTTGCATTTGTAAAAGGTAGTTTAAACAAGTTTTACTATTTGTACATGATTTGTCTAAAGTTAATTGTTAAAAAAAAAATCTCTCTCTCTCTCCTCTCTCTTGGATCGTATTTGTTTATGTCTTATGCCTCCCATTAGCCATTTTCAAAATGTTTTCAAATTTATAAAAGTTTACTTTTAAATATCAAAAAGCCATTGCCTGTGATATATTACTGTATTTCAATATTCATGATGGGAAATTGCACACATTAGTTGTTGCAAGGTACATGTAGGACAAATTTTATGGCTTGCCTTACCTAACAACAGGTAATGTGTGTGCAATATGCATTATGACTATTGTATAATTATTCATAAAATGTGATTGTAATAATTCATAACTAGGTACTTCACCAAGATTTATTCACTAAATTTGATTTCATTACAAAAGTGGCCTATTGCAGTACGATCAAAGAAACTCTTTTCTACCACTATTATCAATTAAATTCAGAGTTTTTTTTTCATGAATCAGTTATTTGTTGTATGTGTGTTTCTTCAGTAGAAAGATGGCTGAGTACTGGACAAGGGATGTTGGTGATGTGAGATAAGAAAGAGAGACTTTATCAACACAGGACGCATGAAAGAATGTCATTAACAAATCAGTTTGGGAACTTTTATATAAATACAAATTCTACAAATTTATTCAAGGTATCATAAAATGAAATACAATTTGTTGGCTATGGCTATATAGCTAAGTAAAAGATTTGAAACATACAAATATAATTTCGAGAACTATTTTCATGAATACAGGTACATAATGCATCGAAGTTGTCCAATTTCCTATAATGGATTTACATTGCCCATATAAAATTTTTAAAAATGAATAACACGCACAGACTTTTTTACACATGAGCGCACACATTGCATTTTAGTACTTTAATACATTCAATTGTTCAACAGACAATTCTAGTCCTTTCAATAATCTGCAAAATGAAAACGTACTAATCGCTCAGATTGTAGTCTTTACGTAATCCTTTCATATAACTGACATGAAACTTACAGAGGGAATCATAGAGATGGCATGAACCAAAGGCTATAACCAAAGGTAGGGAGAGTCAGGGAATCTTATTTGCACTCTCTTTAAATCAATGAAGTATACAGCATCAGTACAACAGAAAAAACATACAGGAGTGGGGTATCCTGCAAAGGGTAAAGCTAGCATACCACCACCCCCCCCCCCTTCCCCTACAGACAAAAAAAACACAATGATGACAAGAACTTCCCACCCCCCCCCCCCCCCCCCCTCCCCACCCAATCATCAATTTCTAGACACAGACTGCCAACATTCCCAAGAAATTTTGGTTCTTATAGTACGAGACCTACAAAGAAATTGCTTAACATTACTATTACGTAATTTTTTTAAAGGCAACATTTATGTAATTAATGTACATCTAATTTGTATACATGTACAATGCATTGAGAAATGATGGTTGCTACATGTCAGTACAAAAAGTTTTTGATCACTTAAAAAAAAGCAGCGAGGGGGTAGCAACATGCCATTCTCTGGTAAATATCTTGTACATTGTTCATTATTAACTCATTTACTTTAACACAGATCTAAGGCCCTTCTGGCTCTGAACAGACAATGTGTAAGCACCTACATACATGTAAACATTTTTTGTTCAGTTTTGTGAAATACGATAGTACTGTAAGTATTGAGGTACATTTCTAATTTGACATATGAATGTTTTATCTCATTCATTGATGATATTATGTTGTTCATACACTGCATGAATTATATCTGAATATCATGAAATCAGTTTTTTTCATCAATATGAATTATTTAAAAAAAAAATATTTTTAAAGGTATATTTTTGTGCTTCAGTAAAACTTACTTAAATGGCTACAGAATAGATATTCACTCCAGTACAGTGTTTTTAGCAGTAAGAGGCTTGCAGAAACACAGTACGCGAGAGCTTACCCTAAAATACTCTTGAGCAATGCATCCTTAATCAAGGTGTTCAAGACTTGCTGAAGGATGATTTTAGAAATCACAAAGTTGTCGAGATCTAGAGTGTATTTAAGTAATATTGACTGCCTTCTGGGCAATACGACATATATCGCCCGAACCGAAGGTGAGGATGATATATGACAAGTCGTATTGCCCTGAATTAGGCAGTCAATATTACTATTATTAACCACATCAGACCAGGCGTGTACGCAGGATTTTTTAAAGGGGGGTTTTAACATTTATAAATCGGGCCGAAAATTTCACAACGACTCAGCCAGCCGCTGAATAAGCAGGGGGGGGGTAAGAGGATATTTTTTTCTTTCTTTTTTTTGGTCCCAAAAAAATCGCAACGACTCAGCCAACCGCTGAATAAGCAGGGGGGGGGGGGGGGGGGGGGGGGGGGGGGGGGGGGGGGGGTAAGAGGACACTTTTTTTTTTTTGGTCTCGAAATTTGAAAATTTGACATTTTGCTCCTTTGGGGGGGGGGGGGGTAAGGTCGCTTTTTTAGGTCAGCCATGGTGATATTTTTTAAAAATAATTAAAAAAAAAAAAAAAAGGCCAAAGGGGTGGGGTTTTAGGGGGGTTCTGGGGGGGTTTATATACATAAAAATACCAGGGGGGGGGTGAACCCCCCCCCTGTGTACGCGCCTGCATCAGACATCTAGAGCAAACAAGAAACTCTTACTATCTTATACTCTTAAATTATGTAGCCTACACTGCACACGATTTCCTAGCATTAGAAGTTGCAAAAACATCGTCAAACCAGCACTGTCCCTCCAGTGCTTGACAAATTTTCGATACACTGCAAACAGTGTGCCTAAGGTGTGATTGTTACGTCACAATAGAGTTCGCGCAAAGTGCGCATTTTCTTATACGCGTAATACCAGTAGCTGATGCACGATGTAAATTACAACTGGCTCTATATTATTGCTCACTAGTTTAACATGCATTTTGCCATTGACTTTTCAGATCGGGCAATAATATTTGTTCATTGGTTTACTGTATAACCGTATTGACCGGCAAATTACACACAAAATCCCATTGACTTTTCAGATTGGGCAATAATATCTGTTCATTGGTTTACTGTATAACCGTATTGACCGGCAAATTACACACAATATCCCATTGACTTTTCTGAGCGGTCAATAATATTTTTTTCGCCTGTAGTTTTGTTGGCTTATCCATCAAACCTTGAGGGCAATAAAATTTAAAAATTGCCCTGCTCAGATGTCTGATACGGTTAATAATGTCACTTATTCCTCTACTATAGTAACAAACGCTACTCACACAATAAAAAAAATGTGTCCAGTACTCTGTGTATCACAGAATGGATGAACAGGAAATCCTTTTGGAACCAGGCTAACATTTCTCTAGCAACGCTCACTGTCACGGGAGTTACTTGAACTAACAACCTTCCTCAGAAACCTCTCAGTTTGATCTTCCTAGTCATAGAAATCAAAGTCATCTTTTTCCTCCTCCACCTTTCCTGTTCCCATGGGAACACTCATATCCGATTCTTCATCCAGATCAGATTCATTCCCCCAGAAAGCTGCTGATCTATTCATTGTGTCTGTTCGTCCAGTTGACTTCATGCTGTACAAATAAAAATACAATACATAACTCGCTTAAATATGTTGATATATTTCATTTCTTACAAAAAAGTAACACAATTTCAGCTCTGTTTACTCCAGAATATCTTAATTTTGTCTTAGTTCTATGGAGTTTCAAAAGGGTTTTGAAAAGATTTTTTATTAATGATTTATTCATCTATTTCTTACTCTAAATTGAGCAATATATAAATGTGTACGAGTGGAAAGCAATAGAGGTTGGTAAAAGAATAACCCAATATCAACTTCAAATCTTTTATATATTCTATTCATTATGGTCTCATCTACATTAAACCTAAAGAACGTTACATGGCCTATTCCTAACCAGTATTCCATGGTCACATAGGCGCCGGAAGTGGGGGGGGGGGGGCAGTTGCCCCCTCACAGTAAAAAAAGTGGGGGGCAAAACGTTTTTTTGCCCCCCCCCCCCCCCCCCCGAACAAAATCAGCAGTAAAAGAGTTAATTGATTTGTATTTTTAACCAAAAGAAAATAAAAAAATAACAAAACCTGAATTGAATAAAATAAAGTTATATTCCATTCATTGTATTCCATTCATAGAATGGATAATAGCGATACGCGCATTTCGTGGAAAAGTAGGACAACTTTTTTTTACTCATTCTTCTGTTCGCAGCATGTACTCGTTTACACGATTTTGTCTATTCAGGTAAGCTTTCTCTTTTATTTAGCACCACATTTTACGCTGTTGTCCCAATCAATGAATCTTTAATCATTTTTTTTTTTATTTATCGATAAGAGGTGTATTGATGAAGAATTTTCGTTCATACATTAGTCGATCTGGCGCTGCTCAGTGGCTGCCGGGCTCACGATCAATTGGGCAAAAAGAATTTCCGTTTCGGTTTAATAAAATTTGGAGTGGACTATTAGGCTATTATTATTATTATTATTATTATAAAGGACATGAGGACAACATTAGTACAAATTTGACGGTCAGCTCGACTTAACGTAGACCTACATGGTTAGTTTTAATGGAAATCATTTAGAGAAGGCTCCCGGGGCAGAGGTGAGAGTTCTAACTATGAGAGGGTTGATTCCCTGTTTTTATTCATTGGCTAAGAAGAAAAAACAAATCTGTGTCCTTTTATATCAATATCAATATACCACGAATGAATGAAATTCAGAAGTATAAGCCCTCGGCTGAAAGAATATTAGAAATTAAAAAGTAGGCAATATACTTTTTGGAGACTGCTTTTGCTTTAGAATAAAATAAGGGTACTTTCAGTTTTATATATTTTTTGTTCAGCTGAATCTTTATCCTATAATTAGCCCTGTAATATTAGTTGCCGTTTTGTTATCATTATTTGCAGAACATCTCAGCTTGCATGAGTTTTTAACTGGTCCCAATCATGAAGAGAAATCATTCGGGTGCAGAAGTTAGGAGAATTAAAAAACAAAAAGGACTGCAAGAAAGTGCCAAAGGGTGCCAGTCAATCTTGAATCTCCTCGAGAAAAAGAAAGAACAAATCGAATCAAATGAAGGACCATCAACTTCTCATTTAGGACAATCTGCAGAACAACCTCATGAAAGCTCTCAAGCTTTACATGAAATTCACCAGACTACATCTTTTGAATCTGTTCAACATGAGGAAAGCCTGTCAGGTGAAGATACCGAGCCCCTACCACATCCTCCCGATTCGCCCCCAGACTCGCCCATGCAGATTGATCAGTCCTCGGATTCTGACGCAGAAATGGTAGAAGACAGGCCAAAGACTCCTCCAGAAAAGGCAGAAGCTCAACATCCGCCATTTGAGAGGAATAAACTGTGCTCTTACCCAAATCAACCCACAACATGCGATTTCAAGAAAGATAATGGGAGAAGATTTCAAATTGAATGGTACAAGACACATCCTTGGATTGAATGGGACAGTGAAGCAAATGACGGAAATGGTGCCGCTTTCTGCCACATTTGTCAACAAGCAAACCTTCAGCACGTCCCCAGTACAGGTAGAGGTAAATGTGAGGAGAGCTTCAGTAAACATGGTTTCACAAACTGGAAAAACGCAACCAAGAAATTTCTCAAGCATGAAAAGAGTGAAGTTCATCGACTGATAGTCTACTAAATGAATAGACTATGGCAGGGTGAAAACATTACTGACAAGTTGAATACCCAAGCACAGGAAGAAAGAAAACAAAATTCTCAGTACCTTCTCACAATTTTCACAACTTTGAAATATCTGGCGAAACAAGGGCTGCCGACCTGAGGACACACAGATCAGAATAGCAACTTCGTCAGTCTTCTCAACCTGTGATGCAAAGATGTCGAGGGCCTAGATAAGTGGTTGGCCAGGAAGACCTCTTGGACCTCTCATGAAATTCAAGAGGAAATGATCGACTTGATGTTGAAAACCCTGATGCGTCAACTTGCTGCTGACATGAACGGGAAGCCATTTGCAATATTGGCAGACGAAACCTCTGATGTTTCGAAGATGGAGCAACTATGCATTTGCATTCGTACAGCAACAGAAGAATTAGCGGTAAAAGAAAGGGTTATTGGACTGCATGCCATGAATAAGTGTGATTCAGAGACGGTGTTCAAAACCATCAAAGATGTCCTTCTTAGGTACAATCTGCCGCTCACGCTTTGTCGCGCAGCAAGTTTTGACGGAGCTGCTGCCTTTCAAGGCAAACAGAATGGCGTAGCAGTGAGATTACAGCAAGAAGAAGGAAGAATACACATCGACCCCCTCAAAGAATACCATTGGCTTCTAATTGCAGAACGATCTATCCTAAGAGCATTACACAGGTATGATCGGGTGTATGAAGCTTGATTGCTATATTATTTATTTGTAAGCCTTTTATTCATATTTTTCATATTCATGGTGATCATTGAAGAATGATGATATCATGATGATGATCATTTAATAAAGCATTCAAATTGTTCAACTTTACCTTGCATTTTTTTATTTATTTTTATTATACGTGTTTAATAGAAAATATTCTGAAGGGTGTGTGTATGTACCAGTGTTGTATGGAATGTAAATGTGCGCCTGTGTATTATTTGTGAGAGGTTGGGAAGGCCGAAAGCTTGTGTGTTTTTATTAGAGGTGAGAAGGCATAAGCCCCTGAAAAGTGAGCCCCCTAGAACGTTTGCCCCCCCCAATCCCAAACTGCTTCCGGCGTGCCTGCATGGTCACATATGCATTACCAACTCTAACAATCCTAGGTGTATGGGATGAGTTGGCTAGGTCACCAGTGTCCTTTACTATGCACTCATCTTAAAAAGTATCAAGTACTGTGCTACAGAACCAGCTATCCCCTAGAGCAGGGCTCAAACCATATCTTAAAGCTTGGTCCTCTCATCCTCCTGGCAGCAATCTTCCCAGGAAGCCCTGGGTTCAGCTGAACTGCCCACTATCAGATGCAGGCAGCTTTTTGCAGCAAGCATGAAGCTGTGCGGTCTCAGAGACTCTGACCTGTGTCCAGGTGGTCAGACTATTGAGCATGTTCTGAATGAGTGTGCTGGAACAGGGCCCCCATGTCCCCTCACTGATATTGACAACCAACAACTGGTGTCATGATTAAACAATTGTCAGTTTTTAATAGCTATGGTTGATATATAAAATAATACTAGTACTAACCTTTGTTCCATGGCGGATGGGACATAGCCCCCACCACCTCCTCTAGGTGTAGGAGATAGTGAGCTAGCTACTTCACTCTTATCTGGTGAGGATACCTCATCCGTTCTATCAGATGGAAGAGGTCGTCTTTCCTCCTCCTCGTCACTTCCTAGGCTTCTACCAAGGCTCCCACCAAGAGATGAAAGCACATTCCTCTTCTTCCTGTCATGGAAGGATTCCCAATATATGAAATATTTAGTAGGTAACAAAAATTAAATATTCTACTTTTCTTCACTTGGTAATATTTGTAAGATTGACAGACTACCTTTACCCAAAAGATAAGAAAGGACATTAATTAAGGATTAAATCCTTACTTAATGGCACTAGGGCATAGAATTTTAGGTCTCTCTCACGAGAACACTTGTGTCCGTAGATTTATCCCCTTATCACTGAGCCCTATCAGCCAACATACGCATGGATATATTTCTTTTCAACTAAAATTTGAGAAATCAAATGATATTGTTCCTGAACAAAGGTCTGACAGCTACTCTCTCTTTCATGGTCGAACAATCTGCAAAGGTTTCATGCAGCAAAAAAGGCCGTCAGCTCCAGTTGGGGAAAGTTGCTCGTTTTGCAGTATTTTATGAGACACATCAAACTAAATTCTAAAGAGATCTTAGGTCTTCTTACTTGGGTTGTTGTGAAGATGGTGACTCCACATTAATGCGGGTAGCTCTCTCTATCTCATCCTCACTATCACTCTCATCCTCATCATCATTTCCGCTCCCATCATCTTCATCCGTCTGCTTCATCTCAGGCTGACTGCCCATCATCATCCTCTGGTAGGCAGACGTTTCTACAAAGATGAAAAACATTTTTTTTTAAATATTAGCAAATATTTAACAGTATCATATTTCAAAAGAAACTTATTAGAAACTACAATGATCAATGATTTGGTATAGATATATCGACTGCTATGAGAGGCCTAGCTGTTTTTATAGGCTCAAGGAGAAGTTGCATCCTGCCATGACCTCAAGGCATGCCCAGGCGCGCCTTGAGGTCAACATCCCCTTGGGGGCAACATCCCCGAGAGCCAGTATAAAAACAGCTAGGCCAGGAATACTAAAGCAAGCGATATATCTTTTATATACCGAATTCACAAAAAAATCTATCAAGAATTCTTACCTTATCCTTTTCTTGAGTAAAGATTAGTTAAAACATCACAGAAAATCTGAGACACTCTCTGTTTATCTTCGCTGGAAAGATGACTGAATATTACAATCATTTGGGAATCGCACACACACTGCACTGTATTGTATCCCCGCTACTCGGGGCGCTTTCTAACAACTATTGACCGTTAGGCGGCATGGCTAAAATCATGACTCTAATTTCGACCAATCAGATGGCTAGATTTCTAAAGAGAGGTATATAATTTAACATAATGCAGCTATTACTATCAATTAATCTATAAAACTATGGTCAATAGGTAACACAAATGATTGGTCAGTATATGCTCAGTCTTAATTTATGATATTCTGCAAAAGGCTCATACTGCGATTGGTTTTCATTTATAAAAAAACAAAAATTACATTAAGAAATTTCAAAATATGAGGCTAGCAAAAAGTCAGTGGATTTATGCGAGATAAATGTAGGAAATAGGCAAAATAAGCAATGCATATAAACGTTTATGAAATGAAGAAGAGACTGATTAATATGTGGCTAAAATGGTGTATGAAAGAGAACAAATATGAGGAAGGAATGAGTGATACTTCTTAGCATGTGAGCAAATGAAATGGTACTCTTGTTCTTCCTTAACAGATCCCTCCTCTTCCTTCACATCTCTTCTCTGTTGTCTTCCACAGCTTGTCCCTTTTCATTTCTATTTATCTCTTTCCTTCATTATAACTGGAAATATTTGTTTACATTTATTATCAATTTGATGTGCAAATACAGATTTGCTGAACAACACTTCTTCATTTCTAACCTCAATTCTTGTACTTTGTCAATTTTGGTGAATTTATTGTATTCTTGTGTACAATTTTGAATACTACAACTACATCATTTTTGTATAATTCAGTATTCGGACTGTCTTTACAAGGAGTTTAATAAACTAAAATGTTGGATGGATGGATGGATGGATTGATGAATGGATGAATGGATGGATGGATAGATGGATGGATGGATGGATGGATGGAAGGATCAGGGGTGATAGAGAGCACTAAAAAAAAAATAGGTTTTTTGTTTTCCCCTCAACCACGACCCCCTTGAGTAAAAAAAAAAGAAGAGGATTCGCGGAGAAAAAATGGCATCTAACAACATTCCCCCTTTAGAGTAAGAAAATTGGGAAAAAATTGAGAAAATTGGGAAAAAAATAGGGCAAAATAGGGAAGAATAGAGTAAATAAGTGGGAAATCGGGAAAATCAGGATAAAATAGGGAAGAAAAAAAAAATCTAGTAAAAAAAAAAAATTTTGCCTAAACACAGAGAGGCATTATTTTGGGAATGTCAACATTCTTTGGTAGATAACTTACCATTTAGAGGTACTTTGTTATCAAAGAAGCTATCACCACTAGTCCTGCCTGTATCCACTAGATCATCTGTGTCTCCTTCCATTCCACCAAGAGCAAGGGGTGGGACTAAGATGTAACACATCACAAAGAAAGGTTAACAGAGACATAGTTCCTTTCATTTAAAAAAATCATATTTGTCTTGGACCATACATCACATTATTTATCAACATTGGATCTTTGTATTGTAGACTCTGATAAAAATATTTACAATATCAGCAAAGTGATTTTTTTAAATGGATAGAACAAGAAGAAATAGAAAAGAGTTAAAAAGTTTAAAAAACACTTTCACGTTTAATAGGAGTGTTCAAAAATACTTCTTAGTTTCTATACTGCCCAGTATTCCATTAAACATGAAAACATAATTTAATATCATCCAACTGATGACATCAAATACTGATTTCATGCTTTCTGCCAACGATTCAGTTAGGGATTTACTTCTAAACAAAGCATAGAGATTTTAAATAGCATACTTCCCATACAGGCATTCACCAGCTTGAATTGTAATATATCAATTATCGAAAGAAAAGTTAGAAATGAAGTAAGATATTGCAGAGTAGAGAAAAATTCTATACATGACTCTAGTCAAATCAACAGTAAATCACAGTTTGGATTTGTTTAAATTTTAAGAGGCAATTTAAGTGAAATACACAAAATCGATAGAGAATAAAAACTTATTCTTCTTGGTAAACAGCTGATATGAATTCTGACTATCTTGCTATTTTGTTATCAAAATGAAAGGAATGTGGCAAAAAAATCATGAATGCAAAAACTATAACAACTTAAAAAGTGGGTGCATAAACATGATAATTCTTATAATTATCATTTATTTGGCAAAGAAAAAACAAAGGAACAGTGAATACAAAACAACAGTAAATATTGAATTGAGTCTGCACATAGATGCCAGGAAAAGAAAAATATCAATTTAATAACTACAACCTGAGATTCTTCTTTCCCACAATCATCTAATCATTGTAATAAACTTGTGCATCATACCTGATGGATAATCCTTTGGTTGAGCATGTTGGATGGCATCAGGGCTATGTTGGGCAGGGCTCATATTTGAAGAATCAGAAATAGACGATTCTTCTCCAAATGTTACCTCTTCCTCCTCCTCTTCCTCCTCAGCTTTCATTAAGATGTCAGAGATCACATGAACTGCCTGAAACATGACAATTAAAAGAAATATTAGAATTCGGCACTTAGGAAAGATTGTTTTGTTTTTTCATTAAAGATAGCTTAAAAGTGTCAAATTGGTTATTGTTGGATTGTATGACACGTGCTCTGCCAACGACTATTATCATTCCATAGTTTTGCAAGAACTCTTACATGGAGGTGACTTAGTGGAGTGGTTTAAGCACTCGGCTAGAAATACAAAGATTGTGAGTTTGATCCTCAACACAGCACTAATGTTAGATGCTGCTTGTAAGCATCGGCTGCCTATGACACTGTGAACCACCGTATACTTCTCGACCAACTCTATACCGTGAAAATGGACTCCCATCTGACTAAGCTTATCCAAATGCTCCTGGAAAATAGACGCTTTTATGTTGAGCTCAACGGGAAGCGCAGCAGATGGAGGAAACAAAAGAATGGTCTACCTCAGGGCAGCGTACTTGCTCCTGTCCTATTTAATCTTTACACCAACGGCCAGCCATTGTACCCAGGGACAAGAAGCTTCATCTATGCTGATGACCTTGACATAGCAGCCCAGAATTCCCACATAGATAAGATAGAAGCCACTCTTTCATCAGCCCTAGACAACCTGACAGACTACTACAACAACAACCATCTGAAGGCTAACCCTGCCAAGACCCAGGTTAGCTTGTTCCATCTCCGCAACTACAATGCTGGGAGGAAGCTGTCCCTGAAATGGAACGATGTCTCATTGAAACACTGCGATCACCCTGTCTACCTTGGAATCACTCTTGACCGAACCCTTTCATACAAACAGCATGTTCAAAAGGTGAAGGGTAAAGTTGGGACAAGGAACAACCTCTTACGGAAACTGGTAAACTCGTCTTGGAGTGCCAATTCCTCCATACCCAAGAGAGAAATGAAGACCTGGTAGGATGATGAAGGTGACCATATGGTAAGTTAACTCATCAGGGAGTGGATATTGTGCACACTGTGTGCATGAATTAATCTGATGACCAGGGTACTAATCATATTTGTAAAGTGGTCAGAGACAGTATTCTGTATTCAATTCAATTCAAATCAATTTATTTTGCCAAGCAATAAAAGACATACAGGGTAAAACAAAAGCAGTATACAAAGTTTCACACAATTACAATTACTAACATAGATAAACACAGAAATACACAGAATCAATTTACAAACATGAATAATACAAAGGAAATTGCTAATGCTGGTAGCAGCCAGAAAGCCAGTATTAAAGGCTATATAAATCCAGATTATTAAAAGTGTTATCATGAGTTGAATATTATCCACCTTTTCATTGGCTTGGGAGTCTGCAGCCAGTAGAAGGGGAGCAAACTTGATGGCTACACTTTCTGGTTCCATCACTCCTCTCCTCACTAAAAATACCATATGACGATGGATGTCATCCCACAGCTTAAGGGATGATGACATCATGTGAGACCTGCACAAAAAGAAAGAAAAAAATCATAAACAAGATTTACATTGACCCACTCAATACTCCACCTGACATTAAGTTGAGAATTCATGGGAAGGGATTATTATGGTAAATTCCACCTTGTCCATCATCACATTCAGACAAATTTTTTGCTATGTAAATCAGTTTTAAGTGAAATCAAGAGTTTTAAAACATATTTCAGTAGTGTGAATCAGACATGTTTGACTATCGAGAAATGCATCACAATTTTCACAGTATTTCACTGAATAACAGAATAGCTGAAGAGAAAATGGATTCTTTGTAATGGTATAATACATGACACAAATGATATGTTTACTGTTGAGAACAGTTCAAAAAGTCTGTTAATTTGAGGGTTCAATGAGTCTAATTTAGGTATTCACAGATCAGACTCTAAACATACTGTAGATACATGTTGCAAAACTATCAGATTGCACATTTCCTTGTCAGAGCTAAAAATGGAGCATAATGGACTGGTGTGTAATAGACATAACACTTTCGTCTACTTTTTATGAAATTCTATAGCATTGCTTTGAAATATTCATTAAGTGATGCAAACCTGAATTAGCTATGTTTTGTTCCTCGATCACAATTCACTACCAAAAAAGTAAATCTGAAGTGCTCAACGCATGAAATATGCCCACCCAAAATAGGTTGTTTTGACAAAAAATTTGCCACATTTTGCCCCAAAGTGGGTTTTTCAAAAGAAAGCATAAGTGAATATACTCTAATCCGATTGATACACACATGCAATTAAATCCCCTGTCAAGCTCCTTTGTTTGATACTAAACTTGTCATGGTAGTGAACATTTTGGACATTTCTTTCTTTAAAAGCCGTAATTGGGATCAAAAGTCTAGCACCATCGAGGAAGATGGATAGGATCAACCTTCTGTCTCAGCTTACTTTGGAATGAGCTAAAGTGATTCAAAATATTGTCACAATTAAATTGATGCAAAATCGTAAACTCTGCATGCATTCAAGAACATTATGGACTGACATCAGTCTCAAAACCTCAGCTCTCACGAAGCCTAAAGCAACCTCTTTAGAAACACTAACAAGAATGAATATTAAGAGTATTGGTTTAGGAACTCTGACCTGATAGATAATTCAGTGATGGTTCTACTACTAGCAACAAGAAGTCTCTCTGATAGAAGACATCCTCCAGGTAGTTTCTGAACCAATAGAGGGAGCTCTTCAAGTATGACCATACTGATTGCTCTTGGGTCTAGTAGGTCAAATCCTGAGTTTGAGTTGGCGGTCCTTGTCAGAGAGAGTGGAGACAAAGTGCACATTAATAGTTTTAATGGAACTAAATACATGGGGTTGATTCCTTAAATATGTGACAATAGTAAAGCAAACATTACAAAGACAGTTTTCAAAATAATGTTTACACTCTTAAAAGCGGGCTGCACTAGTTCATCCCGAAGGGATTAGACCACCCAGCGAGGTCACTGACAGGTGGCCATCTCATTAACTCAGCTCTCAATTAACATAAGAAAAAGAGGATCATGAGGGACCAACAGGCACCGAATGGGGAAGTTTTCTATATAGAGGGAGCAAGTAGCTACAAGTAGTACAGTGTGGCTTTAAGACTATTTAAAACTAATTTAACAATACCTCCTTAAACAAGAATGGCAATACAGAATGATTCATCTCTGAATATGAAGTAGAAAAAAATTGATGGATTTTCAAAATTACCAAATTTGATAGTTACCAATTTGGAGCAGGAATTTTGTTTCTATTGAAAAAATAATAAATTCTGGCGCACATAGATTGATTGAGGTATAGAAACTCACCTCACAATTTCATCCCTAATAGTCTTGGTACAAGCCAGAGTAGCATATATCCCTTCGAGGGAATCAGTAGCATCAATTTCAGCTTCCACAGCTTTCATTAGAAGATAGAATCCTTCATTACTCAGGACAATAGGGTTTGGTTTCACAGTCTTTGCTTCAGGTGCTCTGAGAATGAAAGAAACATTCAGCAAATATTCATATTTATTTTCAGGAAGATATTGCTCCATGCAATAGGCCAGTTTCGTAATGTATTCAGAGACCTTTAAATCGCATTACGTAATTGGAGGGTCGGACAAACAATGAACTCGCAGTGCGTAGCAGCCTACACTTTGCGTGCATACAATACATGACTGTGTTCGCTAGGTGTGATTGCATCGTTTGTTTTCGCTATTTTCAGAAACGGCTAACGAGAAGCAAGCACAGTGACCACAGAATCAATATTATTCACAAAAGTAACGAGAAATAATGATAATAAAGGTAATAATGATAGTCTAAAAACATACGAGTCGATCGCTATCTGTCGAGAGCTAGCTAGAGGGGGGATTGCACTCGAGCTTCTCCACATGGCCATCGGATATTATTTAAATGTATTCAAAACTGTTAAAAGCCTTCAGTTTTCGACGAACATAAATGCATAGTCCGCCATATTCTCTACTAGATAAATGAATACGTCATAGGTCCCAAAGTCAGGAATATCGTCAAACTTAAGGGAGGTATGTAACTAGTTCACTTAACGAAAATCCTGCCCGTTGTAATTTCCCCACACAAAGTCACGTCTATACCGAGTGGCACGGGCCCCGTAGTTCAGGGGCTACGGGCAGGCTAGTCCGCTAGTGCGGACGCTAATTTAACGAATCTTTTCTCGGGTGTATACCGTGGTCGAAACTCCTCTTTTTCTAAGAAAATACTGCAGCTGCCTGAAACTCAGCTTGATGAATGGCAAGTTGGAAGTCATTTCCGGCCAAAACAGAAATTCATATATATACACGCAGTTTTGATAGAAAGATATGAATGCAATTTAACGGCAAGAACCGACAGTCTAATACACAACGCACAGATTCAAAATGGCGGTTTGACAAAGCTTGCCGGGCTTGGTTACAGTAACCGCGCATTACGTAACCGCCGAAACTGGCCTATTACAAATCAAATTTTAAAAATTAGAACTCTTCTCTTTCAAAAAGTTGATGGATTGGTACCACATTCAAGTACAACCTATCCATTGTACAAGTGAAATATCATTCATTGATTTATAAAGACATCAGTTAATAATAATAATAATACTCAGTTTTTCTATAGCGCTTATTAGAATCACTAAGCGCTTCCAAACTTGGATATTATTACCCAGACTTTAGCTGTGCTGCCATTGCGGCAGTTGTCAGTCTGAGTACCAAAGCAGTATTGAATTTCCCATGAGAACCAAAAGAAATGTGTCGACCATTTGTAAGATTATCTATCATATAGCTACATGTATGTCTTACTTAGAGTTGTTGGAATTTCTTTCTGCTTGTACAGGTCCATCATCTATGTGTCTATCCTGACTGAGTGGTAGACTGACATCACTGTCGATCTCACTGTCTTCCTCACTACCACTGCTCTCCACAGCATCATCCATCACTGACGGTGCTCTACCAATCTCTCTCATGTCTTCAGTCACGATATCAAGAGTAAACAGAGATAAAGATTGGTGAATTGTTGTGATATAGAAAATGGGTAGGAGTGGAGGTATGGATTTCCAATGTAAGGTGAAGGAAGCAATAGACTTTGATACTATTCTACAAACTCTGTGATTGAAATATACAATGTAGCCCGGTTTAAAAGCTCAAATATATATCAAAACACGTATTAATATACGATGTATATTGATTAAAACTGAAACTGAGAAACTGAGTGGCAACTTGGCAAGTGAGAGCTCGACCCTGCTTTTAAAAAAAAAAAATTAAAAATGGGAATGAAAGCATGCCATGCTAATAGCATTGCACCATGCACCTGGCTCTCGTAAGCACACACACTCATCAGTCTGCAAGAACCTTCAACTGTGAAGGAGGTAGAATCCAAAGAATAAGAAGAATGCCCCCAAAAGAGTTCTGAAAATCATTGTAATGTAAAATTGCTCCGGGTGAAACGATATCTCCAGAAAGTGATATCCTGAGAACAAAAGAATAATTTCCACTAATATTTTAAATACTGGTATATCAAAGTTAAAGCACAAACCTTGGTCTGGCATGTGATGTTGTTCCCTGCCAGTGCTTGATGGACCTCTTGCTCGCTCTTCATACTTGGGTAGTTCTGGAGGTACCTCCGGAGAATAAAGTGCCTTGTCCACTTGCTCCTTACTCTCATCACCAGAATTATCACTAGAGGAAAATGGTTCTGTCTGAGCTGATGACAATCTTTCTCCTGCAGTGGAACCATTGACTACTTCTTCAGTGAAAATTTGATTCTTAGCTGGCTTTGTTGATTTGCTGATGACATTGGACATTGTTCGTTGTCCTTTATTACTAGACATCTCCCCAACCAGTTGCATAGACTCAGATTGAGGATCCATTCCGGGTAAGGTTGTCCTGTTGATCACTGTCTCTTCTTTGGCCTGACCAGCTTGCAGAGGTTGTATGGTCCTAGTTACATTGCCTTGTCTGACCTGGTGTTGAGGTGACCTAGGACTCTCTGAGCTGACGCTGAAAGAAGAGGAATCTTCCATCTGTCCATAAGTTGTTGCCTGACCTGCACCAGGAGGCACGCTGATTCTGCTCTCTGTCAGAGGAAGCTGACCGCTGGGATGAGAGCTGGGATGAGAACTGGGATGAGAGCTGGGTACAGGTGCGTGCTGGCCCTGTGGAGGTGCCCCATGAAGTCCTGGTACCAGGGGCATCTCATAACCATCACCAAAGCCCTGTGCAGGGTGCTGTGCTTCTGAATGAGGGAGAGTGCTAGGTGTTGTCATTCTGTACGGTGCTGAATCTGGTTTAGGTGCTCCATATTGTGAATACTGTTGAGGGTTTGTGAATACTTGTGAGTTAGGCTGAGGGTTGTCATGGTGAGGCATGTGATTGAATGATGTGGATGGTGGCTGTTGGTAGGTTGTTGATGCAGAGGTCATACTCATTCCATTTTGTGGAATACTACGTGGCATATTAGGAGTATTCGTCTGCTCCATGTATTGCTGGCTGGCTGTTGCATACATCATTGGTGCATTGATATTTGGTTGATCTTGGGACATCTGAAAATATCAAAGTCAAAAGTAAAATACCAGTTTTCATCAAGGAAAGATAAATCAGCCTAGAACTGTCAATAATCTAACTTTCCAAATCATATCATTCATTTCATTATTCACTGAGACTGACTACGTTATGCATTTATAGCTACTGCATGATATGCAATGACATATCCGTGGCTAAATGTATGACCTACACGACATGACAATGTATAAAATGGAAATAAGTAAAATAACTGCATCAATACACAAACTAAACAATCGTACTTACTCTTTTTATGTCCATTTGTTCTTTCCAGTATGGAAACATAGATTCAACCTGCCTTTCATATTGGTCCTGCAAATTGAGAAAAACAAATACATTTTTTACAGAAGATCTATTTTGTTAGAACTTGTTTTGAACAGATTCCATGAACTGGTGGACCGAACTCTAAGGTAAAAAGCAATCCACAGAGAGCTCAAGATGGCGCACTTCTAGAGACAACACACATTTTTGCGAAGTGAGAGACCCGAGGAAAAAAAAGCAGAAATGTCTGCTAGGAAAAGGATCTTTGAGAACCCAAATACCATCGCTAAATACTTTGAACAACCTGGAGACAAATCAGATAAAGAATCAGAAATTATGGACAGTAGCGGGGACAAAATGGATACTCAGTGAAGTTCCTGCCGGTCACATCGATAAATCTATCCCCGAAGCTCTGGGCATGGAATCTGCCAACATTACGATGGACCATGTTGACAAGAAACAACGAACAAACGGCAACGGAGATCAGGCAAGTAACACTGCAGCTAATGATACAAAAGAATTGCTTATGACGATTATTAACAAAATAGACAATACAAATAGTAAAGTGGACAAAATGAATAATAACTTGAAATCCAGACTAGATGTGGCTCTGCAGAAGATAGGCGAAAACAGGAAAGACATTGACGAATTGAAAGACAAACAACAGCACAATGATTTGAGCTAAATGAAACAAAAGACAGAGTAAAAGAGCTTGAGAAAGAAAATCAAAGAATGAATGAACGTTTTGTTGATCTTGCAGCTAAAGAAATGAGATGCACAGCTGTTTACTTTGGCTTCCCTGAGGGCTGTGAGAAAGGAAATTGTGAAGGGCTGATCCAGTCCTTTGCAGAGTCACATCTGGATATGCAGGGGCAAGAACTACATATAGAGAGAGCGCATCACTCTGGGCAGGCACCAAAAAGAGGGGCTCCTCGCCCCATAATGGTGGCTTTCAACCGGTACACGACGAGAAGTGCCATCCTCGCAAGTACCAGAAAACTCCTAAAAGACAAACCTTTTGTTTATGAGGACAAGGAAAACCCCATTTTCATTGATGAAATGCTACCTAAGGAGATAAGAGACCTACGCAAGAAGATGTCACATACCAGACAGAAGCTGAAGGAAGAGCACGGAAGGGCTTACTTCAAATATCCAGCAAGGCTCTTCTACTGCGACAAGCAAACACAGAAGGAAGTGGAGTATAAGAAAGGTTGAAAATTAAAGACACCGTCAACAGAAAGAAGAAGAATTAAAGCAACAAGTAAGGAAAGAACAAGATGATAAAGCAATAAAAGGCACTTTTTATTAATTTTGTTGAACAAGGAGGGTTATATCAGATCATTTTTTTCACAACGTGATGCGTCGCTTGAGCTACGATGAAAGAGGCTGATGGAACAACCTCATGCACACCTTTTTTGTGCATTTTTTCCTATTGTAACTGTTTATGTTTTTTGTTTGAAATAGTGGGACCAACATTTGATGCTAACATGATGGACAATGGATTTGAAATTAATGATGCATAATGTAAATGGATTAGGGGACTTCAAGACTAGGAAGAGATACTTCAATTTCCTGTTAGAGTTAAAAAAGGATGTAACTTTACTACAGGAAACACATTCCACCGAAAAGGACGAAATGTTGTGGAGAAATCAAATCAGATCAAACATAATATTCAGCCACGGAACATCCATGAGTAGAAGAGTGTGTTTAATATTGAGAAGAACTTCGGACATTAAACTTATTGACTCAGTCAAAGATAAAGTAGGACGCTTTTTATGTATCAAAGTTGAAATATACAAGAAAATTTTTGTTATAGCCAATATTTATGAACCCAACAATGAAAAAGAGTATGTAGAGTTTTTTAATGGTTTTAATTCAATACTGCAAGAAGTTAATAATGAAGGTCATACATGTATAATAGGTGGTTATTTTATTCATGAATTTGGCCATGGATAGAGAAGGGGGTGCTATGAAAACAATTTGGAAGCATTCTTGTACCCTGGTAGACAGTTTGAAAGATTATTTTCATATTATCGATATTTGGAGAGTACGAAATCAAACAACTACAAGATTCACTTGGAGGAGATATACACCATATGTCCAATCAAGACTAGACTTCTAGCTAATCACAGAAACTTTGCAAACTGACGTTGTATAAAATGATATATTTCCATGTGTTGTCAGACCATGATTATGTTACATTGCACTTACATGTTAAGAAACAGAGAATGGGGCCTTCATACTGGAAATTCAACAACAGTTTATTAAACAATGAGGAGTTTGTTGAGGCTCTTTGTGACAATGTCCCTTTATGGGTTGATGAATATGAACATAAACATGACAAAAAATGCTGTGGGACTGGCTAAAATATAAAATACGAGAGTTTACTATCCCATTTTCAAAAAAGAAAAAATGTGAAAAGGAAAAGTTGAGACAAGAGCTAGAGGAAGAGCTGAAAAAATATATGAAATGGAAGAGGACAGTTTGAAAGAAGAACTTTAATTAGAAAGAAACAAATTGAAGAGAAATTACATAAAATGTATGACTATTTTGCGGATGGGGCAATTTTGAGGTCAAACTGCATGTGGTATGAAAAGGGTGAGAAAAGTAACAAGTATTTTTTATCATTAGAGAAAAGCCTAGCTGAAAATACATGTATTGATGTGTTGGATACAAAGGATGGGCTTATTCGAAAACAAGCAAACATCCAAATGTTTATTAAAGAATCCTTTCAAACATTTTTTGAGAATAGAGATATGGTATATCAAGAGGATTGTAAGGAATATATTTGTCAAAGTAGACTTGAGCAGTTAACAGAATCAGAAAAGGCCTCGTGTGAAGGTAGCATATCATGCAATGAGGCAAAAGAGGAACTGATCAAAATGGCAAAAAATAAAACTCCAGGAAATGATGGCATCACAGTAAAGTTTTATGAGGTATTTTGGCCTTTGGTTTCAAAATATATGATTGATTCTTTTAATGCTTCATACAATGACGAGTGTATGTCAGTTTCACAAAGGCAGGGAGTAATAAAATTAATTCCTAAGCCCAACAAGGACAAACTTAAACTTGGTAACTGGCGACCAATCACTCTGATAAATGTTGACGCAAAAATCCTTTCTAAATGTTTAGCCAAAAGGATATCTAAAGTGATAGAAAATTTGATCAACAGTCAACAGACTGCTTTTGTTAAAGGGAGATATATTGGAGAAGGGATTCGATTAATATCAGATCTCATGTTTTATGCACAAAAAGAGGATTTACAAGGTATAATAATGGCATTGGATCTCACCAATGCATTCGATTCATTAAGCCATTCATTTATTTTCCAATGTATGGAAGCCTATAACTTTGGGCCCTCTCTAATACAGTGGGTTAAAATTCTATTAAAGATATCAGTGTTCTGTTAAATGGGTTCACCACAGGTTACTTCAAAGTTAGCAGAGGAGTAAGGCAGGGTGATCCTCTTGCACCTCTGTTATTCATTTTGGGATTGGAAGTATATTTGAATAGAGTAAGAAATAATGGCAATGTTGTGGGTTTTGAAGTGGGGGGGAAAGGAAATAAAATACACAGCTTATGCTGATGACATAACATGTTTTTGCAAAAGTAGTGTGGATCGGTAAGAATAGGCATGAAGGTGAAAAAGACAGTGCTTATACATGGCCAAAGAAGGGCATAAAAGTTCTGGGCATATATTTCTCATATAACTTTGAAGAAGCAAGGAAAATAAACTTTGAAACTCGAATTAAAGAAATGAGAAATATACTTGCTAAATGGAAAAACAGAGGACTAACATTGATTGGCAAAACACAAATCTTAAAAACCTTTATAATGTCCAAAGTAATTTATCCCTTGTCCAACATTTCATTGCCCACTGAATTTGTCAAAGAAATTGAGAAGCTCATGTTTTCATTTATGTAGAACGGTCCGGATAAAATCTCAAGAGCAACTATGTATGCTGATTACTCAGAAGGGGGACTGAAATTCCCAAATATTCAATGTATGATAAATACTCAGCTGGTAAAATGGGTTCAACGATATTTTCACAAATCAGATCACAGCTGGACTATTCCTTTTGAGAAGTTCTTAAGATTATATGGTGGTAAATCTATTTTTGTCAGTAATTATGCAATTGAGAAACTACCAAAAATCGAGGATATTCCTCCATTTTATGTTGCCTTATTGAAAGCATGGTTAAAAACAGATATTCATTGTGAATTGGTTACTAACGATAGAAGTCAGGTCAGTATACTGAAGCAGAGTGTCTGGAATAATAAGTTCATTCTGGTTGATAAAAGGTCAGTATACTGCAGAGCTTTACATGAGGCAGGGCTTTGTAGTATATACCAATTGTTTGATAACAATGGAAAAATTCTCCATTTTGATTTTTGGAATGAAAAAGGTGTTTCAAACAAATATTTTTTACAATACATGGCAATAGTGAATTCTGTGAAAAAAGAGTGGAAATGTGAATTTGTTCCCTTGGTATTCGAAAAAAAATTGAATAGAGAAAGTGAAGAGCACTCTCTATTAGAGTTCCTGTTATCTGAACTATATAAACTCAAGTCGAAAATAGTGTATAAGGGTTTTCTTTCTGAAGTAATAACAAGACCAGTTTGTGAACAATTATTCTCTAGCACCTTTGATATTCAAGAAAACAACTGGTCACAAATCTATATTTTACCTTTCAAGTGCACAATTGAAGTAAAAATGAGAGTTTTCCAATTCAAACTGTCACATAACATACTTTATACTAATAACAGATTGTATAAGATGAAATTAGTTGAGTCAGAGATGTGTACCTTTTGTAATTCAACTTTAGAAATGCCTGTTCATTTATTTTATGACTGTGATGTTGCTTCTAAGCTTAGACAGGAAATTGTTGATAAGTCAAGTTTGAAGACCTCAGTAAGAAAAGAATAATGTTTGGATTCATCAAAGATTGGAAAGGGCCCAATATGATGCTATTTGAATCACTTGTTGCTTATGTTTAAAAGATATATTTATTTCCAAAAATGCAAAAACGCTAAACCATGTTTAAGTGGGCTAATGTCTTTTATCAGTAACATGAAATGCATAGTTCACTTAACATTGCAAAACAGAAGAAGATTGAAGGAATGCACTATAAGAAATGGTCCCCTGTGGAAGAAGTATTTTGATTTTAATCCTATGATATATATACTGTACTGTAGAAAAGAAAGTGTTATCCACTATTTCTGTATTGTTGGACGTTTTTCATCTGTTCTTACCTTTTGTAATTATTGTGCAGTGATTTTTATGATTATTGTAATCATGATGTATGTACGAATTACTTGATAAATAAAAGTTTGAAAAGATAAAAAAAAAAAAAAGCAATCCACAGCAAAAGATCAATAACAGAAAGAGATCATTTTGAAATGGTAATACCCTTTGATATTCATGTATTTCTAACAAAAAATAAGATATCTCTCGAGGTCATGTAAATCTGAGAGCCCTTTGCTAAAGCCTTCTCCCCAGAAAAAGTTCTAAGAGTCAGGATCTTTTAGACTACTTTGGCAAACTACTTTGAAACACTCCACTACATTTGAATGAAAGCATTCTAATGCTATCTATTTATGTGATGACATAGCTTCATTCATACTTTACCTTTAAGAGTCGAAGCCTCTCAGTCCTGCTAGAAAGTGTAGCAATATGAGCCTCTACTCTCCCAAAGTCACGTAGGAGTTGTTCATTCCTATCTTTGCTCTTTCTCTCATCTTCACAGACTTTCTTCCAGTAGCTTTGCAGCCTGGCAGCCTTCAATCGAGACCTGCAATGGGAACAAGTCATTAAGGTCACGTGCACTGTGGCAGGGTTGTGGATTGTGTCTCACATAATAACAAAATTGATGGTGATTGTCTGTAAAATATTTAGCATAAAGATAGGTTCAAACTGTACTTATAGTACCAACCTCTACCAAAACAGAATATAGGTATAGTTTGTTCCTAGAGTCAGAATATCCCTTTTTCCCATTAGTATGAAACTTAATATTTCTGCTTTAAACTGAACAAACTTCTAATGAAGGTTTGATTCCTTTTTAGTCGGTATCTCGCTAAATTCATTGATTTTTCACTACAATCAGAAGATTAACAGCTAGAGATAATTTGCTAAAACCATGAAAGAAATGTAACTTACAAGTTTTGATCAGACATTGCATAATTATCAAAGCGCCTCTGAAGATCCAGTCTTTTATTCTCTCTGCATCATGAAAAAATTGAGAAATCAACTTTAAATATCAAAATATAATGTAGGGAACATATGATTTACCATTTACTACTCAGGTATCAAGATAATACATAGCAAAAAGAGCAAAAAGACACCCGTTCGCAGTTATCCTACTCCAATCAAGCATCACCACCAAGTCACGAACGCGCATTCGCCAAAAAGGAGGCCTAACAAAATTTCTCACAATGTGCACGAAAACAAACCCAAAGACAGAGTAGAGAACCCTACTAGAATCTCTACATCCACTTTTACCAGACAAGGCCAAAGTGCAGGGGAGATGGGCTGGACCCAACCACAGAAGCAGCCGCCCTCTCACATCAGAACAAATCTGCCAAGATACAGGGGACACCAATCGCCAACACAGCAAGATCACAATAACAAACCCAAAGACAGAGTAGAGAACCCTACTAGAATCTCTACTTCCACATTTACCAGACAAAGTCAAAGTGCAGGGGAGATGGGCTGGACTCAACCACAGAAGCAGCCGCCCTCTCACACCAGAACAAATCTGCCAAGATACAGGGGACACCAATCGCCAACACAGCAAGATCACAATAAATCTCCTCGGGGCCCAGATGACAAAAGGACTCACATCTCGCCACCCATGCTTCCCCAACATCAGATCATCACAAACGAGACCCCAGTCATAAACCAACAGAAAAAGTCGCAGCCACTCAATCCACTACCAAGCCATTCACCAACAAGACTGCACGATACCTCACCCGCAGGGGATACATGTACTCCAGCAAAAGGAGCTCAGCACACCGCCAATCCTCAGTCTCCCGTGCCGGTTTTTCATGCAGGCCGAGCCTCAACAACTGCTCACATAGCCCTTCTCGATGCAGCATACCACTCACTGATGTACACACTCCAGATCCTCTCAGCACCAGATGCGAAAAGCAATCTCAACAAAAACAGAATGGTAACGACCAACCACCACCACATCATAGACCTTGTTCAATCAAGCCTCGTCCTTCTAACAACAGCATAAAAACAACAAATATTTCATTAGGAACACTGAATGTACGTGGAATACAGTCCAATCTGAGATATGCCCATCAAGTTGCCAGCAAGACTGATATCCTCTTTATTCAAGAACACTGGCTTTATACAAACAGACTACATTTGCTAAATGACATTAGTAGCCAACACTTTGTAGCAGCTAAAGCAGCAGATTGCATCAGCTATACTAATGCCATACGAGCAGGACGAGGAAAAGGAGGGGTAGCAACATTACTTCGTAAAACGCTGGTTGCCAGCTACAGCGAAATCCCCTGCCACTCTACCAGGATCAACGTAGTTCGAATACACCTTCAACAGTCAAAACAGTGCATCCTGGCCATAAACTGCTACCTACCGTCTGGCGTCAATCAAACTGATCTTGTAGAATACCAGGAGAGCCTTGCCATCATATCCAACATCCTATCCACCCACACTGACGACGCCATTGTCATTTCAGGTGACTTCAATGTTGACACAGTCAACCCTAATAACAAAAGATCCCTAGGATACCTTCGAGCCTTTCTGGAAGATGCTGGCCTAATCAGCATAACAGAAGAACTTGGAAGCCAAGGAAATTTCACCTATAGATCGGATGATGGTGCAAAGACATCGTTTATCGATGGCTTCCTCACGCTTAGTTCATCACTCCACCAGTTTGTTGATCTCACCATTGGCCCTGACACACCTCTGAACACTTCGGATCACCTGCTGGTAAGGATCAAATGGTCTATAGTGCTACCAGGACATACAGATCGTCCAAAGCATGCAACAACCACTCAGCCAGCCCAGAAACTGCAAAGATTGAAAATCAAATGGACAGAAGCATCCAAAGATCAGATAGCGGCTCAATATACTGATCCCCTTGAAATTACAGCAAGGCAGTTGTTTACTACATTCCACAAGAGAGTGCTGGACAACACATCTGTGGACGACTTGCTTCATAAGCTTACCACGGCCATGATTGAGACCTCACTCAGCCTCCCACACAGCTATCCTTCCACAGGTAAACACGGCAAACCAGAATGGACCGCGAAAGTCAACGACTCATACAACGCCGCCCTTGAAGTCTGGAAGAGATGGAAAACAGCTGCTAAGCCTCGCAGTGGTACACTCTTCACAGACTACCTCCTATGCAGAAAGAAGTTTCGAAGTCAGCTCCGCCAATCTCGAGCTCACAACAACAGAAAACTCCTGAACTGTATCGAGAACGCCTGCGAGACGAACCAGCAGCTCTTCCACAAACTTGTCAAGAACCAGTGCTCCAAAGACAGCTCAGGGTATGGTACAGAGTCACTAGAGTACGATGGTAGAACATATCAAGGGGACGGCGAAGTCATTGAGGGTTGGGAGCTATATTTTACTGACCTCTCCCTACCAGACCATACAGGAGATGCCTCTAGCAGCTCTGCCTTTGACATCCCTGAAAAGTCCACGTTCTCAGCACCCATGTATGCTCTCACCATAACATCTCATGACATCAAGGTAGCTACTACTAAACTGAAGAAGGGCAAAGCCAGTGGTCCAGACAACATCAGCCCAGAGCACCTCATATACATAGGAAAAGCCACCATGCACTTGATTCTGCTCATCTACAACTACTACCTCTCAACCGCTCATACTTCGCAGAAGATGAAAGATGGATTGATTCTTCCCTTCCACAAGGGCAAAGGAAAGGACCCCCGCGATCCTAGGAACTATCGAGGGATTACCTTGTCTTCATCCTTCTCCAAGCTCCTTGAGCTTATTCTCAAACCAAGGCTAGAGAAGACCCTTCAAGGCAATGGTATACCAGATGAGCTACAATTCGGGTTCCAGAAAAACCACTCCTGCATGCTGACTTCATGCACTATGGAATTCATAATAGAGATCAATACCTGCCAGAAACGGCCTACCTATGTTGCTCTCCTTGATGCAGAGAAGGCATTCGACAAGGTCTGGCATGACGGCCTCTTCTACAAAGTGGATCAAACCAACATTGACCCTGCATACACAGCCCTCCTCAGATCTCTGTATGAAAACATGGAAAGCCGAGTTCTGTGGTCTGACAAGACAAGTGGAGCCATACCGATACTCCAGGGTGTCAGGCAAGGTGGGGTACTCTCCCCCCTGCTGTACACTGTTTTTGTTGACGGTCTTATCAAGGAGCTAAGAGACAAGAGGCTAGGTTGCCAGTTGCTGAGCCAGCATGCTGGTGTGATCGTCCTGGCCGATGATGTAGCGCTAGTCAGCTCATCTCCAACAGAGCTTCAAGAGATGCTGAATGTTACATGTAAATATGCAGAAACTTGGAGATATCGCATCAACCCGCAGAAAAGCAAAATTGTTACCTTCAATAACAAAGCTCACAAGTCAACGGCCCAACCCATGTGGATCCTTGGACAGATGCCAATCGAATCAGTGACCCAACACCCGCATCTGGGAATCATAAAGTCCTCCTCCAAACATGATCCAACAGACCTAATGATCTCCAGAGGCACAAAAACCTTCTATGCCCTCACTGGAGCGGGTGCATACACAGGAGGTCTTCTACCACACCACTGTGCACGACTCTGGAAAACATACTGCATCCCACGTATGCTGTATGGAGTGGCCATCATGAAGCTCAACCAGACAAGGCTAAATAAACTGGACAGATCCCAATACCAGCTCTTCAAGAAGATTCTCGGGCTCCCCAACAGTGCTGCCGATGATGCTGTCTATCTTCTCACAGGCCTCTTTCCTCTGAGCATGCGAGTTGACCAAGAAATTCTCCTCGTCATAGGTCAACTTATCAATCTGCCACACTCAAGATATGAGGTACGCACACTACATCATGCTATCACCAACTTCACTCCCTTGGCGAGGACCTGGGAAAGAACTTTGAGAAGTTATGAGCTCCCCAACCTTCACTCCCTCCTCTCCAAGCCCGTTCCCTACGTTACATGGAAGTCAGTCACTAGGTCTGCAATTGACTCGGCTATGCAGAAGAAAGTCCGTGAGGCCATCAATGCAAAATCATCTCTCGCCTTCTTCAAGAATAACACTAGCTCCCCCCATGACCTTTACCCGAAGTCCATCTCCTCAAGTTTTCTACGTCAAGCCATCATTGTACGCTCACAACTTCTCTCTCAGACGTACCTAACTCAATCCCGGCTGTGTAAAATCAAGAAGGGTACGATCCGATTCTGCCAAGTGTGCAAAGCGGAAGAGGAGGACATCACACACTTCATAGCCAAGGGTAAACCACTTAGGAATCATCGCCAGAAACTGGTCGACAATCTCCACCACAGGGGCGTACAGCAGTCGACACTCGCTCTATTCAGTCCAGATGACCCTGAGACCTTCACGCGGGCAGTCCTACTTCCGAATGTTCTAACTGTCTGCCCTAACCAAAAGAATCTTCTTATTAATGCATCACTGTCATTTTTATACAATATCCACTCTGCTCGTGCTAATGCAATCGCTAATACATTTTCTACTTGACTTGACAATCCTGCCTGCTATGACAAACTGCAGTACCCTGGTAGCTGCTGATCTCCGATAGAGCGGAGGAAGAAGAAGAAGAAGAAGAAGAAGATGACAACTTGACACAATTTTAGATTGCAGTTGAGTTGGACCAGCATAGCAGTAAATAATGCAATTATGATGCTATAACAATAATGATGAGCTACATGTATATGTATAGTTTACAGTAACCCTGTAAGTTGGGGATCAGTATCGGATCGGAAGATCAAGCCAATTTTCAAGTGCCTATAGTTATATCCCAGCTTCTCAAGGTAGCTCAGCTCAGCTCCATCGCCGCCGGTGCAGTGCGCGGTCCCGTGGAACTAGGCGGAGTTCCACCGAGTTGATCGAGCTCAATCAATTCAATTCAAGTAGGGTGTCTGATCGCGCACCCGATGTTGTGTGCTAAAATTCTTCCCATAGAGATTACACGCATCCCTATGCAGCCTACGTGCATTGCGCGACCATGCAAAAAAAGTCAATTTTTTTTTTTCAAATCGAGATTCAAACCTTTATCAGTTGTGATCCTGAAGGTGATAATCAATGAATGAGGTGTCATATGAAAGAGCAGGTGAATTCCAATATTTCCAAAGGGGCGTAGCCTCCGAAATTCTAAAAATATCTTGGTCAAAACAGCAATTTAAACATTGTGTCCTGGCTAACTCTGAGGTTTGTCACTTTTGAGATATGACGCCCCGATCGATAAGTAGTCCCAGTCCTAAGGAACAATTCTATGTGATTATATTTTCGCTAGCCCCCAGGGATCACAACTGATAACAGTTTAAAAATACCCTTCTCGCTATTTGGTGGATCAGCTAATTAGGAGGCGTGCGCTCCGCTCAGTCCAAACCATGGTTACATCGCGTAACATCTCCGCGCACGAACGAAACCCCAAATTATAGTGACTGAAATTATGGTTGGCAATTCCCTCGATAAACCCGGAAGTGAATACACGTTATAGTCAATGGCAATATCGCGGAGACAACGTGCGTTGTCTCCGCGATATTGCCATTGACTATAACGTGCATTCACTTCCGGGTTTATTGTGCGACGAACGCCAACCATACTAGTCAATCGCACATGTCGCGGAGACAGCGTAGCTCAAGCTGCAAGTCGCGGATTGGCTTAGCAGCATGCGTACGATATGCATACGCTTGCATATCGCGCGATACAGCTGTTTGGCTAAATTTAGCAAAACAACATCACTCTGCGTGGACGTCTTTTTCGTCGATTTTGACCAAAATGATATGAATATACCAGCGTGTTGGAGGGGCTGTAACTTTTGATAGAAACATCGGTGAGACTTGAAATTTGAAATGTATTATTCTGATAACATTTCTTATTCAAATATCAAACAAAAATGGTGAAAAACGATCCCAAATTGAAAATTGAAAAATCGTTCAGACACCCTAATTCAAGACAGTTTTCAAGCGACTCATGTTTTTTTTGTTAGACTCCAATTTTATATGTATTAAAAATTATTGCAACAAAATGATATTAATGAAAAGGTCTACTAGATTTTATTTGACTCACCTTCTGTGCTGTAACTCTTGTATTTTCTTCAAACGAGCATAAAATGCGATATTTTCAGAGCTCATTTTACCGCTTGCCTTTTAAAATTGTTTACTGTTATGGTGGCTCACAAATTATTAGGAAAAAATTAAAAAAGAAATTGTGAGGGGTACTTGGGGTACGGGTTGCGACGAAAAAATATCAGTGGTATACGTCGGATCGGAGTGGTCAAGCCTCGCTGGAATTCTCAGTGTGGCGGCCACTAGCTGGCAGGCGCGGATCCAGGATTTCTTAGGAGGGGGGGGGGGGGGGGGGGGGGGGGGGAGGCCCAAATTTGAAATTATGCGAGCCAAATATTGGTACGTAATGGTGACCAGCATTGACGTAATGGGGGGGGGGGGGTGCAGGGAGAGGCGATTTCCCCCTCCCTCCTCCGCAAAGCGCCGAAGCTTTGACGTTTTATTAAAATATTAGAGAAAGAAGACGATTCGTTGTATCGTTCTCGGAAATAATCCTCGTCTGAATAAAGTTTTCCCCCTCCCACGCGAAGCGCGGAAGCTTTTACATACATTTCATTGTAGAAATTAAGAAGACGATTCGTTGTACCGTTCTCAACTCTTAATCCTCGTCTGAATTTAGTTTCCCCCCCCCCCCCCACTCCCACGCAAAGCGCGGAACCTTTCACGTTTCATTAAATCATTAGAGAAAGAAGACGATTCGCTGTACTGTTGTAGAAAATAATCCTTGTCTGATTTCAGTCCCCCCCCCCCCCCTCCTGCGCGAAGTGCGGAAGCTTTTACCATTCATTAAATCATTATCCCTAGTCCCTATTCATAATATTACACAAGGGTCGGTATTCATATGACGAGAGAGTCGCTATTCATAATGCAAAATGAGAGTCGCTATTCATAAGGGTCATTATTCATAATCGATAAAGAGGGTCGCTATTCATAATAGGAGAAGAGGGTCGCTATTCATAATAGGAGTAGAGGGTCGCTATTCATAATAGAAGAAGAGGGTCGCTATTCATAATAGGAGTAGGGGGTCGCTAATCATAATACGAAATGAAGGTCGTATTCATAATACGAAATGAGGGTCGCTATTCATAATAGAAGTAGAGGGTCGCTATTCATAATACGAAATGAGGGTCGCTATTCATAATACAAAATGAGGTTCGCTATTCATAATAGGAATAGGGGGTCGCTATTCATAATACGAAATGAGGGTCGCTATTCATGATACCACGAGAGAGTCGCTATTCATAATACGAAATGAGGGTCGCTATTCATAATAGGAGTAGAGGTTTCGCTATCCATAATAAGAAATGAGGGTCGCTATTCATAATACGGGATGAGGGTCGTTATTCATAAAATGAAACAGGCCTAAGCAATATCCCAAATGCTCATAACAAAGGGAAATGTTGGACGGAGGACACCCCCAAGGCGACACATGGCCCTGAATATTTGTCTTGTTTTTAAGTAGGTATATTTCACCTTTTATCTTTAATAATTATATAGAGACATCTCCCGCCCTTATGGTGACGCAAAAAAAGGAAAACATGAACATATATAATCGTATCTTAATTTGACTTTCTTGTGGGAAATGTTGCCCCATTATTCTGCCCCCGACTGATCTTATCCAGGCTATGACAATGCGACATTAAGTAGACCAAGCAGGCCCATTTTCATAGTTATTCAAGGACTGAGTTTGCTATTTCAGAAATTGTCATTGTTTATACGACAATTATGTTTTTGTAGAAAATAGCTTTTAGTAGGAATTATGGACCTACAAATTATATAGCGGAGTTGGGCCGGACCACGAGCCTACTTACTGTACTGAGAGGGATGAGTGGTTGGGGGGCACTTTAGAATTGTGATTTGTTTGAGACTTTGGGGGATAGGGGGCTTGAACACTTTCGGACCTTCACGGTTTTCGCGTCATGTATCGTACAAAGAGGTAATGCAATCCGAATATGAATCAAACATTTATTGTCTTTTTTTGTTGGGGTGATGGTGATGGGAAAGGAGGTCTGATAAGGTCTTTTTAGTGCAACACAATTAAAGTAAAAAATGCCGTGACAAATTTGTCTTCATTTTTATTTTGGGGTGGGATGTATAGCCCTCGTAGCAACAATGGGGCCTGATATAATGATAAATACAGAACAAACACAGGAAAAATACGAAATGTAAACATAAATATGAATGCAGGTTCAATAAAAAATAAACATTAATTAATTAATTCGAGACATGATAAATTCAAAGCAAACACAGCAAATACATGTAATAGTTATTCGAGTCGATATATACATGCTTGAAGGTTCACACACGAAATATAGATAATCAATTACTTTAAATAACCAAACCATAATAAAAAAGAAAATACAATAAAGGGAACAAATGGAACGAAAATTAAGGCTGATGTAAGTTGCCATGAAACAAGATAGATAATTACAGAACAAACACATCATAATATACATACCACCTGTCAATTCATCATACACATTGAGAACAGGAAAATATTGTTGTGTTTTTTGTTTTGTTTTTGTTAACCATATTAATCTTTATGGAATTTATTATTGTGAAAAGCATTATATTAATTTTCATCCTATGCTCACTGTCTCCCACGAGTTTGAAATAGTGTCTTATTGTCGGGGTCATCTCGTAGGAGAGGTTGGTAATCATAAAGCATATACATATTGTCTTACTGTCACGTTCTAAATCTTTCTTCTTTTTTTTTTTTTTTCCTGGCCGAGGTGGTTTCCTTGATCGTCTTGTCACCAAAGTTTGACTATCAGTTGAGGGGGGGGGGGGGGAGATTTCGCACAAGGGGGACAAATTACGATAGGATTATGTGTGTGTTATGTTTCCCTTTTTTGTCACCACTGGATCGGGGGAAATATATTAGCTAGATTATGGGGATGTATTTATATAATTATCAAAGCTAAAAAGAAAATATAGGCCTACTTTTTAAAAAAGACATTATACAAAGGACGCCACCGTTTGCATAATGTCTTACGATCACAAATCGTATCTTATTTGACTTCAAATCTTGAAAATATTACTTCCTTACATATGAGGAGGAAGAAAAAAAATCGTGCAAAATTGACGAAAAGCTTGAATATTGTATATAATCTAACTCCCTGCAACCAGGGGCGTCCCAAATGGGGTGTGTGGTGCGACACCCCTGTCAGGATATTGTCGGTAAAAATGCGCTGCTGTCGGGGAAAATGAGAAAAGGGGGAGGAGAAAAAGGAGAGGAAAAGAAAAAGAAAAGAAAAGGAAAAGAAAGGAAAGAAAAGAAAGAGAAGAGGAGAAAGAAAGAGAAAAGAGAAAGAGAGGAAAGAAAGAAAAAGAAAGAAAAGGAAGAAAAGGAGCAAAAGAAGAAGAAAAAAAAAAAAAAAAAAAAGAAACAGGGGATGAAAGATAGAGAGAAAGAGAGAGGTGGGGGGGGGGGGGGGTAAGAGCCCGAGAGAAGAGGGGTGAGTAAGAGAGAGGGCGTATGTTTGGTCGAGGGAGCAAGAAAGATACGCATAGATAACTTTTGTTGCTGTGTCGGGTCCGCTGTGTCGGTATTCTTGCTCAATCCTCGTATACCATATTTATGCAGAAGTTTGAAGTCGGTGTATTATGTCGGTCAGCCGGCAACATTTTTCCCTACGAAGTGTGCAACTTTTTATCGGATAAAGAAACATTCTTGAAAATTCAGACAATGATTAAGAGTCGGTCCAACGTATCGTCTTCTTTGTCTAATAAATTAATAAAACGTCAAAGCTTACGCGCTTCGCGCGTGGAGAGAGGGGGAGGGGGAACTGGAAAAAAATTAGCTCCTGGTCCCGGATTTATAGGGTTAAATTTGTAGACATTGGGACATTGGCATTAATATATTTGTTGGTCATTGGTGGTTATTTTTGTCGGTATTCGGTGGCCTCCCCCAACCCCCACTGAAAAAGGTCTAGCGACGCCCCTTCCTACAACCCCCTTTTTGTTGCTTCCTTCCTTTGCTGAAGGTAAGGGACATGATATATCAACCCCTTGAAGGCAACACTGATACAACCCCACGCCCCCACCCTTAAACACACGCAGGCTACGCCATCAATGAACTACTTGGACGAGAATTGTCGCCAATATGTACATGTACCAAGGGAATACTGCCGGTAGGGTGGGCCGAATGGCGCAGCGTGGTCGGGTATACTGGGGGGGGGGGGGGGGGGGGGGGGGGGGGGCTGGTGACCGGAATGCTGGGACACTAAACTCATTATTGGGGCACGCCTTTTTTCCTTCAGAAATGTGAGTTTTCAATAAATATTTTCTTCAAATGTTTGGGACCATGTGGCCTACCCCAACCCCCCCCCCCCCCAGCATACGCCCCAGCCACGGCCTACACTGTAGCCATGGGGTTTCCTCTATCCAGTATGTCGCTTTCTTATTAACATTTAGTTTATTGCTTATGTCATTTTGACTTTTTCGGTATAATGAATAGCGACCCTCTCGTCGCATTATGAATATCGAACCTCATTTCGTATTATGAATAGCGATCCCCTACTCCTATTATGAAAAGCGACCCTCATTTCGTATTATGAATAGCGACCCCCTACTCCTATTATAAATAGCGACCCTCATTTCGTATTATGAATAGCGACCCCCTACTCCTATTATAAATAGCGAACCTCATTTCGTATTATGAATAGCGACCCCCTACTCCTATTATGAATAGCGAACATCATTTCGTATTATGAATAGCGACCCTCATTTCATATTATGAATAGCGACTCTCATTTCGTATTATGAATAGCGACCCTCTACTCCTATTATGAATAGCGACCCTCTCGTGGTATTATGAATAGCGACCCTCTTCTCCTATTACGAATAGCGACCCTCATTTCGTTTTATGAATAGCGAACCTCATTTCGTATTATGAATAGCGACCCTCATTTAGTAATATGAATAACAACCCTCTCCTCCTATTATGAATAACAACCCTCTTCTCCTATTTTGAATAGTGACCCACTTCTCCTATTATGAATAGCGACCCTCTCCTCCTATTATGAATAGCGACCCACTTCTTCTATTATGAATAGCGACCCTCATTTCGTATAATGAATAGCGACCCTCATTTGGTATTATGAATAGCTACCCTCTACTCC